ATATTAAGATGACTTTTTCTAGGAGCCATACACCATCATCAGCTTCCAATAAAAATGTCATGACTTGCTCTTCAGACAAAATGTTAGACTTTTTTGGTCTGTAACCTTCAGACTTTCTTTTCAAAAAGGCGAATAATTTTCCGAATCTGTAATGTAATAAACATCCCCAATACACAATAAATACAGTACATGAATAAATTACCAACCGTCAATGTTGTCATATACCTTAAAAGTGAGTTTCAACATTGAAACTTTTGTCCATAATGAATTGGGCGAGTACATTTCCGATTTTCCCTTTACGTACGCTAATAACACGTCTTCATTTACTAAATTGATCCTCTTAATCTTAAGCCATTCCTTGAAATCTTCGTATTCTTTTTGATATCGCTCCCTGGTCTTTTCTGGTAGCAAATCGACACTTGCAGCCATGGAGTCTGCTAATACGTCTGGAGGAATATTGATATTTCCTTCAATTACGTCCATATTTTTGGAAAACCGTCGTAGAGCTTCTCAGCACGCGTTTTTAACGAATTGTTTATTTTTCAGTAGTTGCGTCCATGACAACCGCTAACATGTGACCATAAGCATACCATGATCAAGATAATTATTATATTTAAGTATTGCGAATGGATCTTTATGAAGTCGGGGATGACGAAAAATCTTGATTAACGGAAATGGCTTCGGTTTACAAAGTCCGTTATTTGCTAATATCGGCCTTATGACGTTAATAACTATTTCGGCCACGTATGTCTGAATGGATTTGTGAACTAACGCAATTGTCAGTACTGGGGTAACGAAAATCCACACTTGTTTCGAGAATATCGCTCCAAATTTCAGCAAAAAATCAATGTTTGGGTTTCATTCTTGAAAATGAAATTTTTAAGTCGAGATTACTAAAAGGTAATTTAACATGGGAATTCAGAATCAGAATCTAAAATCCGGACATTTTGCTAGAAACGGAAAATTTGCACTTCCAGCAAGACGGGGGGTCCGCCACATTATGGTCTGACGGTTAGTTATTTCAAATTCTGGCGTTCCACAGGGTGGAAACATTAGGTATATATATCTAGCAATTTTATTCGTTTCGCGGTTATTTAAAGTTGTTCAAAGCCATAATGTAAGCATGATTTGAAGAAATGCGATAGATGTAAAAAAATTGTGACTAAATAACAATTTGAAATTCTGAAAAAAAAGGACTTTTTCGTCTCTTTGAGCTCTGAGCACCACACGTATCGTTAGTTGCTATACATCTGTTTAGAATATTTAAATGTTAAATGGAATTTGAATATGGTATTTGAACGTAATTGTTTTAAACAATTTGTTTATGCTTTGAATTTTTCCACTATAATAAAAACCTGTTCATTTTTAAACAAAGAAATAGTTTCAAACGGATAGTTTTTTACATTTGTTTTAAGAATTTGGTTTGTGGTAGGTACGAGATAGTTATTGTCTGTGGATCATTTCTCCCGAGTGAATCCCTACAAATAAATTCGATACCTTCAGCAAGGCCTGGTTTTTGCAACCATGGAATAAAAACATTTAATTTTTTTTATAATTATGGCGGTAACCTTTTAAAAATCTGTGTAAAATGATGGCATGCCTTTGCTTCCTATTATAAAACTACTGACTATGTATGTTAAACCATAATGTTCGTAAATATTTAATATCATGTTATAATGTAATTTCAGGGAGCCTGCTATTAGTTTATCCGTAGATTAAAAAACACAAATTTAATCTGCATTTTTATGAAAACGAAATAGTTTTAATAAAACGATCGAACAATTTTATGTTCGGAGTGAACGTTTTTCACAATAAACCTAAACCCTAAAATCGGGGACGTATTTTTTAACCCGAAAATAGCCTTGTGGGAGATGATCAAAAATTATATTAGAGCGAGATTTTTGTCAATCAGATAATTAGGTATGTTATTCTATAATGTTGAAAACTGCAACAAACCGTTATTTCTGGGATTGTCTGTGAAATTACAAAAATCTGTTTAAAATCACATCCGACATTCTGCGTAATATAGGTAGGTGGGTAGGTACTTCTACAAATTATTTAAACAAGTTGTACATCAGCATGTGCACAATGAAAGTGCATTTTTGGTAATAGGTACAGATCAGTATTTTATCAGCAAAGTTTAAAATTATCGATCCCACGAGTATAATCTCACTCAAAATGCACATCCTACGCTATAATGAAGGCTTTTAGTGAAAATTTGAAGTATCTAGCTATTGTAATTGCTGAGATCTCAGCCGGACAGCCAGCCAGCCAGACATAACATTTCAAAAATGCGCTAAAAACGCACTAGGTAGGTACTTACGTACATTCTACTTTTAGATTAAGGACAATTGATTTTAAGATCAAATAAAAGCGGTCCCAGTATGCCTCATATAAGGAATATTTATTTGTATTTACTTTCAATCATTCCTATTTTTTGTTTCAGTTTCTTTTAATTATGTCCTGACGTATTTTTCTACCGGAACGTTGTATACTCGTATCTAAGATGTAGGTAAGCTTTTCCGACATAATATGAGTTCAGGTTTCGCTAATTTTAATATTTACCTCCCTGTTACACAACAGAATTATAAAACAAGAAATATACTTATATTCTTTTATTGTTGAAGTTTTTTCCATAACTTATTGCTTTATTGGATTTACTTCTGATTTGTAACTCATTCATTTAGCTTCAAAATAGGTTCCTTGATATCTGCGAATAGTAAAGAAAACATACGTCTTAAAAGTATTTATTAATAAATAACTATGTACAAATCACACTGAGAAAACGAGAACTGCCATTATGTAGAGAATGCAGTAGGGGGTGCTGCTGATGGCGGCACCCCGTAGACCACATGGGGTTGAACTTCCGCCGTACCAGTTGCTCCAAGAGTAAGCGATGGAAGCGTCAGGCTGAAGTTTGAAAATAGGCCAAGGATAAATTCCAAAAAGTTCCTCAGCAAACCGACGCCCTTTAGCAGAAAGCTCTGAAGTTTTTGTACTTTTCCAATTATTACGTTCAAAATGGCTCGGCCGAGGTCCCAATTTTCGTTGAGTACAGATTGCAGACGTGCCAAAACTTCGCTCTTCAATCGAATAAATGCCTCGATGAATCGGACGATTTCTACTTGCGGTGCCAAAATCGCTTGGGTGTTGACCGAGACGCCAAAGGAAGGCTGAGGCTGGGGTGGCAATCCGTAGGAGGGGCCGATGTCGTGAGACGATTCGTATGGAAATGATGTCAGATCGGGTACATCGCTGTTTCCGGAGGGTAGAAATGGAATAGTTGCGAAAGTCTGTAGAATTCCCGATGCTGCAGTTTCGGTATCGTTGCGCTCTTCATTGCTGTTGCTAAGAGATTCAGCGGGTAAGGCGTTTGTTAGCGAAAAAATCTGTTGAATGATAACGGATTAGCGATGTAACCTAATGTCAACTTCAACTCACCATGGGTAGCATCAGTAAGAATTTTGTCTCCATTTTGCGACAATATTTACCGGGAGGTTTCAAAGAATGAAATAAGCGCTTTAGGGATTTTTCTCCTTAAATAAGGACACTCCCAAAGTGACGTATCGGTAGAAAGCGTAATTAGTGATTTTCATAATGAGGTATTGCAAATGACTGCAATTATGATTCAGTGTTGGCTGTATATAAGGTACAGATTTTTGCAAGAGGGTCATTGCGCAACTTGTCTCCATCACAGAAATACCTACGAAGCACCAGAATGGAATTAGCAAGTTTTGTATTGGTAAGTTCGCTTTACTTTTTTTTACATTGTGTCTTATTTTATTTTCTTCTTGTGTAGCTTACTTATTTTGCCACAAGCTTCGTTGTTGGGTTACCAACTCGTGCTGATAGTGGAGATTTCGACCATGAATTTGCGGAATCTAACGTTAACGATTTCCGTTCGTTACCCTTAGAAGACAACGTTTCCGACAGTCTGTTCGATTTGGCGTCGCTACCTCATGAAGCCCACGTGCCATTCAACTCGTACAGTGCACCTGTTCTGCCAGCTGAACCAGCCCATGTAGCTCCTCTGGCAGTCGCACCAGCGGTCGTACCAGCACCCGTAGTACCAGCAGCCGTACCACTTCCAGGTGTTGCAGTAAACACTCACGTTCTTATTCCGCACGTTGAAGTCTTCCGATTCCTCGAATCTTTCATTCACTTCAAGAACGAATTATTGGCGCGCCTCCAAATTTTAATCAATGAAAACTGGGACTTAGTTCGTGCCATTATTAACATTATTATAAGTAAAATTCAAAAGCTGGGAGGTTTTACATTGGTCGGAATTAGCATTTTGAGGCAAATATTCGAGTTTGCCCTTACCATTTTTGGAAGTTGGAGTGTTAATCTCCCATCGATAAGCGTTGGAGCTTCAACGGGTCCAATTGTGCATCCGCATACAACTTACGGAGTCCCAGATGTGCTTACGACCGCAACAAATTTCTTCAGCAGGTTTCAGTCATTGTAATTTATTTGTATTGTAATTATTATTTATTTGATATTGTACATATACATTCATTTCGGTAATTTATTAAATCAACATGTATTTTTCTTTATTTAGCCACATAATATTGGAGAATAAATAGACACTTGCATCATTTCAAAACCATGTCTCTCAATTCTTTATTTATATTAAATAGTAGGTACAGAGTAATTGGCTTATTGAAACTAAATACAAACTATAAAAAATTTGTGTGAAGATCCTAATGGATCAGTATATATTGTATAGTCTTGCATGTGCGTGTTGGTGGGCAGCCACCATCTTGGAATTTATAAAAGACATGGGTAAGTTCTGCCAAGTGATGAATAATCAAAATGTTAGGAAGGATCCATGTTTCTACTGTTTCAACCTTCCACCACTTTGCACTTTGCAAACCCAAAAAATGGGGCATGCGCTTTGATGGGAGTCACACTTAGATTTACTGCTGGTGGCTGGTGGTCTGTGGCAGTGCAAATACTGTGTATACGGCTGGAATACGGTAAATAACATCAATCTTGAGGTTATGTTTTGTAATTTTAAAAAAAATATTTTTCCTGCTGATTGTATGTTGATAATAATACAGTAACGATGTCTGAAAAGCCAGCAAAAGTGAAAACTAAGAAAAAGCAACGTAAATCCGTAGAAACTTGTAAACCCACAGCTACGAAAGTGGATAGTAAAAAAGGCACGGGAAAAAAACGAAAGGGCCCTCCAAATGAGCAAGGTCCTAGTACAGTAAAATCAAAAAAGTCCAAAAGTGAAACTCCCAAAGCAGTAGATCCGCCCCCGTCTAAATCTTCAAAGAAACGACCTAAAAACACGGACGAAGAAGACGATTTGGAAGAATGGGCCGACGATTCAAACAATGAACTGTCCTCAAATATTTCCACCTTCTCCGGAAAATTTGGTGTTGGCACAACCCCTAAGATTGATCCCTTCAACTTGGAGACCTCACATTTTAACTTCGTCCGTTTAGTTACAGACGAAATATCATTGGAAGGTTTAGACGGAATTACATTGGAGGGTAAGTTCACTATTGCGGTAAACAGTTTAAAATTATGTTTGTAGCACTGTGGACTCGCATTTCCTTCACTCTTAAATATAAGGATCCGCTTCCAAACACAATCCGAAATTTTGCTTGGAATATTGCAAGGTTTTCTAATGATATTCAATTTTTTAAGCTGCAAGAGTCTCGAGAGAAGTTACACATATATGATCGGTATAAAGATAGAGATCTCGTACTCGGCGAAGTCATTGATCCTGTGAGTGAAACTTTTGTAACTACTTCATTCAACTGATTATTATTTGTAGGTTGAAGCACCATTGGATATCTACCCATTTTGCCCTGTTAAAGAACAAAATGCTTTAGGATCGGCTTCGTCGTTTGACACTCGTGTTAATATTAGTAATGAGGTTCGTTCCATGTATTTAGAGGAAGTGGAGAAAAGGTTTGTGTTACTGTCTATACTGAAATGTGCTGTTGTATTTGGTATGCTTTAGTAATGTGTTTGTAATCATTTGGGACATGCTTCCTATATCCTGTGTATTAAAATAATAATTCTCGCTTGGCTTTTATTTTATGGCGCTTTGCATGCAATTTATTGGGTGCAATTTTTCTGAGGGATTTTTTGTAATGCATGCTACTATTTCCTTTGTAGAAGAATTTTTTCTGATTAATTTTAGTGGTAACTTTTCACTTCTCACAGTGTCTCCATACTTTCCCCAGAATATTCTCAATCTATGCAATGTATAGCATGCAGTTAGCTAAATCTGGTTAGCAGGATAGCTATGGTAGCAAAAGATTCATGTAAACAGGTAGGTAAGTAGCTAAAAAATGTGTTGGAGTGCATTTGTTTAAATAAATTCGAAACGTTTTAGGTATGTTTGCTTTCAAATTTGTTTTGTTTTTATTTTTTTCTTAAGACTCAACTAAAGAGTGACATGTCACGAATTTGAACCACCCTGTACTGTATAGAACACCAAATCCGGCCGAGACTGAGTAATAGTTTATACAGGGCATTTGGTATCACCTATTTTCAATAATCTCCTACGAGATTAAAAAATAGTGAAAAAAAATTTTGATAAAAAACAAAATTACTGGTTGGTTTATACAATTGCATACGATAATTTTTATGTTGCTCCGGTGTGTGAGTCCCCCTATTATAAATAGATGATACCAGATGCCTAACCCTGTATCTCTTCGCCCCATGTACTCCAACACCTCTACTTCTTCATGTGTCACATTGGTATAGGTATAGTAGATGGTTCCGACCAGTTTTGTTCTTTTGTCCTGTAGGTGTAGATGGGGCCCTGTGACGACGTTTTCCTGTTATGACTAAACCATGCTAACCATTGAACTCTGTTTATTTTATATTTTACCTTGTGTTTTGGCTCGTTGCCACCACTTCAAGGCTGCATATGTAATGATGGGTTTAGTAATTGTTATCTATATGTATGGATCATTTTTGGCGTTAGTCTCCATTTTTTCCCGAACATTCGTCTACACAGGTTCATAGTGCCCTGATAGATTTTGTCATAATGTTATTTAAAGGTCAAAGTCTTGTCTAGTGTCACTTATCAGGGCCTTTGCTCTGCACAGAAATAGGCGGTCCGTAATGGAAAGTTCTCTCTGCTCCCATGGGGTTCCTCCCTGGTAATTGGGTCCTTGTATCAATTGAACAGCTTGCATTCTGTTGCACACAGGATTCTCAAATTTGCTGCACACCATTATTTTATTTATTTATTATCCCTCCCTTGTTCTGGGCCCTCGACAGGCTTGCGCCCAATTACAGAGTAACCCGCATAATGTTTTTTAGAGGTGCGTCTGCAGAAAGTCTTAAGTTGTTCTATACTACTCCGGTATTTACCTTACAAATTAGGAAAACTGCAGGAAAACCTAATTTGGAGTAGTTGGCAGAATGCTCGAAAGTTGTCTAAGGTAATTCCCATCTCTGCAACAGATGAAAAATTCACGCCAACCCAGGTTCGAACACCCGACCTTCGGATTTATAGCCCAACGCTCTACCACTGAACCATAAAGCCGGTATTATCATGGTTATGTCGTCAGTTTGACTTCGAGACATGCGTAGTAGGTATAGTACTTCTCCCTACAGACACTTCGTCACGGCTACAGTGGCAGTGACTGTATAAAGACAGTGTGGTCATAATCCTTCATGGCGGCCATGTTTTTTTCTAATGTATCATCAAGCTGATTGGTTTACCCGAATTAGTAGATTTTGCTATGGGTACAATAATGCTGCCACAATTATAAATTCATCACTTTGGTTTCCAAGTTAATTTCCACCAATCCTGTGTATTTGACCAAAACATGGCGGATCTCCCAACTAGCAATAGAAAATAACACCACCGTATGACCGCACTGTCACTGTAGACTGTAGTCACGGCAAGTACGCCCACAGTGTTCTTGTTGACAGTAGTATGGATATTTCTGTTTTCTACCATTCAGGAAATCCACCTGCAAACTGCCACGTTGATTCCTCTGTTTTGTCCACTTCTCATAAATGACTTTAGAGAGGTGTTGTCTAATGCCCCTTCGATATCTAAGAAGGCACCCAGTGCAATTTTTTGCCCTTGAGAGCCTCTTGTGAAGAACAATATTGCACAGCGTTGTAATGCTTTTTTGGCTACTATCCAGGTCCTAGGTTTACCTGCGGATGACTTCCAATTTCTTTGACCTGGTGACTTTTTGTATACTCAGGGTTCCTGGTAGAGCCGTCCTTAGCAAATGAGAGTCCTGGAGCGAAATATTTTTGCGGGGCCTTTTTTCAACGATTCCCGAGGTGGGGGAGGTGGCATTTAATACCCTCCGGGTGAGAGGGGGTCCGGCTCACCCCCGGAAATTTTTGCAAAATTATATTTCGTAAAAAAAATCGTCATTTTAAGCACTTTTAGTGACTATCATGGGGCGAAAGGAAAGAGATTGTCCCTACTTAACGTCCCGACTTTGTTTCAATGTTCCTACCAGAATTTCGAGATCGCCACTTACTTTTTCCTATCCAATTCCCCGTACTAATTTGTTTTATAAATGTCCAACGATTAGCATGCCGCAAAACTTCAATAGCATCTGTCACCGCTGCTATATCAACTCAAGCCCGCTTCCTACTATACTAAGTTTTATGAGAAGTTTTACTTGTGAGTAAATAATTCCAATTACTTACTAATTTCCATTGATTTGTAGGTTTTCTTCAATCCTGGCATCTGCAAATTATTAATTTAATTAACATATTCTGTCTCTTCTCTTCTCTTCTACGTTCATAGGTTTGGTAATGAATCAATAATTGCACCTATTGCGCAGGTAATGAGACTATATTTTAGGTACCTATATCTGTAGTTATTACATTATTTTCACCAAAACTTTTACTTATTAAGCGACAGAGCAAAGCGATGTAAGCTTTATAGAGGAGTCGATGGTGTCCGTCTGTCCGTGAACGCGATAACTGTCAAACGCTTGGACCTATTTAGTTCAAACTTTGCACAGCTAACATATATATATATATATCACATGTAACAAGCCAATTGAAAATGGGTCAAATCCAATGACTCCCTGGGGTCACACAAAGGTGCTCTGCCGCTTTTTTAGACGCTCTTTATGGGTTTATTTTTTTTAGCGAGAGGTCGTAGGGGCTCCACCCTAAGGACGGTTCTGGTTCCTGGACTACTGCAATCAGGTAGCTTTTGAGTGATGAAAGTTAATCTATATAGCCTCATGTTCATGTGGAGACATTGTTTGCTTCACCTTCATTTCATTTGGCGGCTTCCTTGTCATCTTGTCCCTATGGTTTTGAAGATGACCATGGAAAAGTTGATATGTGGGCGATGCCAACCGACTGTTGCTCTTTAGGGTACTCCTACCACCCGAGTTTTCTTTACCTAGGCGCTTCACTATCTTACCCAGTTCCACTACTTGTCCCAGAATCTAAATCATTGATCGGTTTTAGCGTTGATGAACCTTTCCAAACTATACTACTGTAGCCTGGTTGGAACAGCTGATATGCATGGTCCCTCCCCTGTACCGAATGCAACCATTATCTTTTCGAGTTCATTAATTCACTTGAAGAATATGGCCTTCCTAATCCTCTTCGGTAACCGCTAACGCCATCTGGAAGGTTATAGCAGCGCCTCGACTTTGACCTTTTTTTTCCAACTCATTTTGTAAGGCGCTATTATGGCCCGACTGCCCAATGCTAAGGTTTTTATTTACAAGAATATTTATGCTGTTACTTTTTTCCTTTGTACATAAAGTCTGTTACATGACGTTTGGAGAAGTACATACTGATCAATTCATGGAAAATGCGCTAAAGTTATGACTGAAGTACTCTTCCTTATACAATGAAAACGTCGGAGTGGACGATTAAACTGAACTCACCTTTTGCAAATGACTAATTTGTTAAAGCTAAGTTACGGTTGATACAGATATTGCCACAGAAGTTAGAAGTTAGAAGATTTAACATTGCATTTTATCATTTCAGTTATGGATCTCAGTTGGTCCTGGTTGGAACACAGCGTTGTAGAAAAAAAGCAATTGTACATGGACTGGTTGATCCCAATGTGGAATTCAGCTCGATTCAGTACTGTCTACTTGAGCGTATCGGCCGTTCTAGAACATTTGGAGAGATTACTCAGGGAAAAGTTTCATTGCAAGTGATAAGCAAAGACCCAAAAACGCTGTTTTACAATCGTAAGATTCTATCGGAGAACAATGTAATAATGAAACAACCGTTTAATATAAAAACTCTATACGGCAACCACATAAGCGGAACGTTGCTGCATCTATACAGGTTTTATAATGAACAAAAGACCAAGACCGAAGTAATGACTCAACAGATTGTGGAAGTTTTGCGTAACAAACCAGGATATCGCATTGAATACGCCGAGGCGAAAGAAATTTTTGGTTATCCTGTCGCTCTAAAAAAGCTGTTTAAATTGCCCGAGTTCCAGCGTTTTGTCAAGACTGACATGGTATGGTAAAATTTGTTTAATAGTAAGTAACAATTATTTTTTAGCCATGTTTCAGTCGAGACCTTTATCCGAATGATTCGTCCAAATGGATTACTTCCAGCAACAAGGAGCGAGTAGTACGAACATTAGAATTAGTAAATCCGAACGTTAACGTCTCAGGCGCGTGGAATGAGGATGAAGCGAAAGAGGAGTCGTCAGGTGAATTTCAGTGAGATAGTTCAATTTTTTACAGGAGCAATTTTAGATGAGGAAGTGACACAGGAATTGATGCATAAAATTCCCATTTTGCACCAAGTTTACGATTTCATCAAATTAGGGGGCCGTGAAGGCAGATCAATAAAAGATATACTTGTGTGTAAAGGTTTGGATTTTTACACGACGCGTGCGGCTGTAAACCAACTTGTCAATTTAAAGCTGGTTGATGGTGTTAAAATTGATATTGGCAGACAAAGGCAAATTAAGTAAGTACCTACCGGACAAATACATATTTTACAGAATAAGATCTGCTTAACTGTGCTGTATGCTGAACTATACTAAACTATACAATTAAAACAAAGGGAGCAACATCTGGTGGCAAACTTATAAACCTATAGTTATTTCCATTCCTCTAACTTCTATCCAATAATATTGAGTTTTGAAAATTATGGCAGTATCACAAATGGGATAACAACCGACCTATTAAATATGTTTAGAAAGAAACTCGAAACTCAAAAACGACACTTTCTCATGGAAACGCCCTTTATTTTAACAGATAGAAAAAATGCACCTAAGTGTCTGGAGCTTAGAGAGAAAATAACTGGTGTGAACAGAATTCAGCTATTTCTTATCGTTTGGCACCTAGAGGGCGTTTCTCGAATTTAGTTGATTTCTTTAATGCCTCATGCGATAAATGATTGCAGCATTGCCGCGCTGAATGGCCCGACTAAGTTTTTGAATTAGGAAGGTTTTCGAACATTTTTCAATTTCTTCCCTAAAGTCAGAGCTGGGTCGAGCGTTCTAAAAAACCGCTCGAGCGATGAGCGCTCTAATTTTCTCAAATATGCTCGCGAGCATCGAGTTGTTTTGCAACGCGAAACCGCTTGTGAGTTCCGAGCACTCTTAAAAGTGCTCAAGCGGTTTGTCGCGCGTGCTCGGGAAAAGTGCTCGTGAGCGGAAAAAACGCTCGCGAGCGGCGGTTAATCATTCAGCGCTTGAGGGCGGTTAAAAAGCGCTCACGAGCGGAAAAAAACGATCATGAGCGGAAAAACCGCTCGTGGGCAGAAAAACGCGCTCGAGCGCCGAGCACCTCGCGAGCAGTACCGAGCTCTGTCTAAGTATTCACAAACTGCAGAGCTTCCGTACACCAGGGTCCAAAGGTTTCAACAGCAAAAGGTGAAACTGGTAACTTACTTATTTGCCAAATAACGAGAGATGGAAAGATTGGCCCTTAGTTGTTTAAAAGTATTATTTCCATGTTGGTAGCTTTATTTTCATGTTAAAGGATTGCTGTGTGCAATGGAATGTGGTCAACTACACTGACCACAGAACACTAAACAGAATTTTTAGTACCTCTCTTTTTAACATCTCCTCGTACACTTCCAGCATCTGCTACAAAGAAAAATCCCAATATTACCCTAAATTAATGGTTTGGGAGACTCAGTATCCTCGATCACTTACGAAAATTCTAAAGGATCAACTACACAAATTTTAATTAACACCTGACACAATTCTTGGACACGAGAAGAAAAATCTGACATGAAAACTCGATCCGGATCACACAAAGGATTCGAATAAACACACAATTAATTGATTAACAATGACAAAAATTTATTCCGACTTCTTACTAATCTGGTCGTGCAAACTGCAAAGATAACAAGGTGCACTTAACTTCACACACAAACACTGACAGATTCTGTACACAAAACTAATCAATGACAAACAACATTAACTTGATGAATAAAATGACGAGTTGCCGATGGCTCTTCAGATGCTACAAACTTTTCACTTTTAATAACAAGAGAACCTTAATACAAGGCCTCACAGTTGCACTAACTGCTTGATTGTTCAGCTTGGCACCTCTAAATGACGATATTTTCAAAATGTATTATATTTTTTAAATTTGTTGTCATTCTTCAAACGAACAAAACGCGTTTGTTGTGGTTTGTGGCGTATAATAAAACTTTTAGAATTGTCTTGCAAAAATATTTGACATATTTTATTACTCTGTAGGTATCGCACAATCAGTTTTCGCCCCTACAATTTGGAAGTAGCAAACCAAGAAAGTCAGAGGGAAAAAGAACAGCTTGAGGTCGATGCGATTAATTTTTTGTCCGATTTGCTCGAAGTAGAGCCAACCTACCTTGCTACCTCCCATATTCCCCAACAGCCCGACTTAATGGTTCCCGACGATAATTACACTCTCATCAAAAAGTTACGTCAACAAAATAAGCAGAAGAAGGAAAATACAGAAAGTATGGCGATTTTGATGGCCACTTATAAAAATGAACATGGATACACTGATCAACCGAATGGATATGTCTTTAATAACGAAATTAGTTTGCCACGCGATATTTGTCAAGGTATAATTAAATCATGCGCAAAGCCGCAATGTTCCGATGTAGAAGTCAGAAAAAAAAGGTTGACCAAATTTTGTTTAACTCTCAAAGAGAAAAATTTATCGGAGATCGGTGATGTCAGGGCAATGTATGAAAGTTTGAATTGTCCTCTAAATTATGATGGGCTCTTGAGTGAAAGTTATCGCAAACTGTTATACAAGGTCCTAAAATTATCACAGCGGCTTATGATCAGTTTGGAGTACAGAGTTATTCAGTTAGCACCCCGAAAACACTATCTGTGCAAAAATCAACTTTCATCAAAAGAGCTTCAAAAATTTGAACAAGACCACCCTAGCATAAGTAAAGTAGCCATCGAAATTCAACCATCACCACAACAAAAGGGTGGCAGTAGTAACCAGAAGGCAGCAGAGGAAGAAGATGGCGCTGAGGTTGTGATTAAAGAAATATACATGGGGCCTAATCCGACATTAGCGTATCAGTCTGTTGACAATGATGGCATACATGTATCAGTGTGGATGTCTACTAAACCGGAAGAGTTTACTACTTGTGATCTATACGTCAAGGAGAATAATGCGACGATACGCACTATGAAGCGGGCCAATTGGATTTTGAATGCTGTTCATCAGGAATTAGTGATCACCGACATTTACAGGTTGCATAAGGCAATTCAAGCTCAAGACAGAGAGGAGGGTTACAACGTTAAAGCGGATCGTAAGTCCTTCCAGCGCATTTACACGCGGTTAGTTCGCGGAGGTCATATCAAGATATTACAAATTTATCTAAAATCTCCGCAGATCAAACGTATGGTTACTGTGTTATGTGATCCTTCTCTAGATGTTCACCACAGCATCATAGAGTCAGTTATTGAACAGTTCAAGATGAAGTTTTTCATTGTTCATAAAAAAGAACCTTCTGTCTCCACACCACGTGCATCCATAGTGGAAAAGGTGCCTCTGTTTGAAACAACTCAGGTGTCGACTAGTGTTGGTGAGCTAAAACAGCTGTCGGAGCAAGAGCCGGATTATGTGTATGATCGAAACTCTGGAAAGGAGTACGGATACCAGCCTAAGTTTGTACGAATGCGTACATTGCACGAGCTTCTCTTCTATCTCATTTACACCCACCCAAGCTCGCGGGAAGTTAGTGACGTACCGGAAATGTTGGCTGAGGTTGATATTCATTTAAATGAAGATGATGTCAAAGAAATGCCGCCTGTATATTGTAGGGGAGTTAGTTGGAAAATGTTTATGTCGCCATTACCTTGCCACAGTGGGTGGCCGGAAGGATGGGCGTTGGTGTGTGACATCTTATTACGTTTACCTTTAGTCATCTTCTTAAAGCTGTGTAATGTTACATTTGTCATACCTGAACTATCGACGTACTTAAAGCATCCGGTTAAACAATTTTATCTGCTGAAACATTTACCCAGCCAATTGCGTTCCGGGCTTATTTACAAGAGGAAGTATTTGTTTGCCATACATGAAACATTGTGCAAATTGTGTTATATTGGACTTTTACAGTTTGGTCCACAGAAATTAAGGGAAAAAGATCAGGTTTTCATCTATTTAAATCGAAACGCCTCCCTACTGGATACAATTACGTCTAGTTCAGGATATCATTACATAGAGGAGAAGGAGTATACAAGGAAATTGTTTCACTTCCATTCCATCACGGACGTGGAATCTTACTGGTATGAAATGTGGAGTATATGTGCTCATACCAAACTGGGACTGCGTAACGCTGTTGTTGGTACTTACATTACAATTGAGCATTTAGAAACGAAGGCTTCTATGGTGGAGGCAGTGAAGCCCCAAACTACTGAATCTGTTATACTGAATGACAAAGGAGTTTTGCCTGGCGACCAACGTGGCGCTGCCGGATTGGACTCCGCACTGTGGTCGCACATTAAACGGAACTGGATTTGGGGTTCAGGTCGTAGACCTCCCCCTCGACAGTCAGAGAAAAGAATTTTGGCCAAAAAGAAGAAACTGGCCAAGTTTCAAATGATTCCGCAAACTCGAGTGATAAAGCTAGCCCGACAATCTAAAAGGTTTATTGTACGTAAAGTAAAGATTCGAGCAGACAGGAAGGATCAACGGAAAGGCTATGATTCTGTGGATAAAAAACTGATGGCCGATTTGAAACAGTGCCGTTCGGAGTGGACAGGTGAAGAAGATCGCTTATTGCATATTTGTAAAATCATATCCTCATTTCTTTGTCCAAATTTTCGCAAGCAAATTGTGCATTATACTGTAATTCGAGACACTATGCACCAGTTGTTGAGAGCCAGCCGCAATAAAACATCCGGTGCTTGTCAGAGGCGTATTAACGTACTGTTAGGGTCCGTCGAACAACAAGAACATCTCCAACAAATATCCAAAACTTTAACACACATTCCTTTTGTTAGGAAGTATTTTCAAAGGTATTACGAACATGTGCAAGCAGGGAGGAGTCTGGCAGATAAACAATTAAAAGGCGCCTTTGTACTTTTAGTAGCCTACTTCCACAAAAACCAACATAAACTTCAGCATATCTTCGAAGCAATTAATCTTACTACGCATGTAGAGCCCAAACATTCGGAAAATGATGATTCAGCAAGGAAAAAATCCTACCCAGATCAACAGGGGCAGCTTGACGTGCTGGGTTATGAAAGCTTAGAACCTTCAACTCGATCGAATAAAACGCCACAGGTATACCCCGAAAGTTCCTTTCCTGTGACTGAAAACGACGTTGTTCTAGACACTATTAAATCTATCATTCATAGTACGGTTGCGGGTAAACCGGACGACATCAGTTGCATTTACCAATTTTTCCGCGTCTATCAAAACTATTCCGATGATCTCCTGAAAACCGCAGTAAACGAATTGCGCAACTCTCAGATGGTAATCGCAGTGAAACGGTTCACCTCAAAGAAGCAACAGCATGACATCAAAGGCATTCCCGTAACATCCAAGCTTTTCCATTTCTCGTTTTACTACAATTATATTCAAATTACAAAGTTTCCAGTGGAATTATTTCTGGATGCGCACGAAATGTTTCTCGGCACTCAAAAGCATCGTGAGGCGCTTACGGATCGAACGCGCAACGGATTGCCGATGGAATGTTGCTCGCAAGGTCACGGAATTGGGTTATCCGAAATTGCAACCCAAGTGAAGGCATACTTTACCATTGATTTTCCGAAGGAGGTCCTAATTCTCAATCCCTCCATTACCGATCACACAGAATTAATTCGAGAATTGGCGATTCGCTATAAGAAAATGCTACATTTAATTAAAAACGGCACGTTTTTCAAAGAAGATCAACAAGTCCAAGTCGAGGGTAACGAGAGGCAATTTAACAGAGTTCCGATGATTCAGAGATTTTTGAAGTCGTGGTTTTTATCAGAAGACCATTCAGAACCTAACAGTGACATCGACTACAGTTTCAGACACGTGCTGTTTGATGACGAAAGCTGTTCAAAGAAAGGCGATAAGAAACAGAAGCGTAACGCGCAAATTACAACTGAGGAAGGGCAAAAAATATTGGACTCCTTCAATAAGGAGATACATCAACAGCATTTGCAAGTTTCCGGCAAGACGGAAAATTTGAAAACAACGACGCCCGCCTCAAGCGAAAGCTTCGAGAATTACGAGAAGAAACTGGAGAAACTTTTGAGTAGTAAAGAAGACGATGAGGCAAACTCGTCCCAGAAGGATGATAAGATGCAAAGCGAAGGGGATAATCTTTTAGAGAGATATTTGCCTAAGGCGACTGGGGTCGTTGATATTCAACAAACTGACACGGAGGCGCCGGAGGATGTCGAATTGGTACACTATTCCGAAGGAGAGCTTTCGAGCGGTGGTAAAGCACACTACTTGATGGACGATGAGCTGTCCATCGAGCAGATTATGAACGAAATGGTCGCTGATTGTGATCCAGAGGAGCGAAGAGTGCCTAATCCGATTAATTTGTCACGGCTACTGGTGACTGGTTTGTTTCCAGACCTGGATGAAGACGAAGAAAGACTGGAGAGATTACATCAGCACTTTTTAATTATCTGTCCGGATACCAATTTAATACTAGACCGTTTTGAGGATAACGAAAGCCTTAGTTATTTACATATTGAACATCCATTGGTATGCAAAAGACTTTTGAGGAAAGTACAAAAGTAAGTTGATCATAATGCATGATATTTTGCCACAGTTCATTTTACTTAGAATATGGTATTGATATTTGTGGTTGTTCGAATTGTCAAAATTACTTTTCGTTGGGATTGCCATACCCTTTGCTTGTTATAGTACTGCATCCGCCAAAAAACTTACCCTCCGATAAGTTCGCTCCAGGAATATGTGTTCTAGAAAAATTTGCAACCTGCTGAAATACTTTCTCATCGAGTCTATAGTTCCTTGGCTGTGTCAAAATTCGCTCCGAGAAATTTCGTCCTAAGAAAGCTCATTGTCAGCTAAATCTGCACTCAGAACACTTACTCATTGTGCCTACCGAAAAAATAAAATTTTTGATTGACCTTCGTCAAATGTCATATTTTTTTAAAATTTCAAATGGCACCCCCATAAACAAATTATACCTCTGGGTAGCCAAAGCTATAAATTTTCCACTGATCCAAATCGGTAATAAAATATAGGGTGTTCCATTTAAAAAAATGCAAGTTTGATACGCCACTGGTAAACGACGGTAATTGTGTACAATTTTGCACTAAGACTTTTTTCGGAATCTTTTATAAATGAGTTATGATCTTAGGTGTATACCCATGCCCGTTCCCGTTTCTGTTAGGAACCACATGAGCCCCTCAGGTTTAAGGAACGGGCAATCCGAGTTCAGCCACTGCTCCCTGTCTGGGTGAATGACTTTATAACTCTTTGGTCTTAGTAAGGCAGCCCGGTTTGCATCCCTTCTTGCAAGGAGGGGATCAGATCTATGGGTTTCCTCCCAGATCTTCTCTTGCCCAAGGCTGCCTCGATCCTTTCACTTGTCCCAATTGTTTAGCCGTATGTAAGCCTTCCACTTGTGTCTGCCCCCACAGCTAAATGTAAAGGCTCTAGTCCCAGAAGTGCCTTGAGTTTGTACCAATTGTTGCAAGGGCAATTTTTCGTAATAATAATCATAGATCATCTGATATTCTGACTAGCTGATCAGGATTAAGACTTTTGTTTCACGTGCAGCAGTCTAACTTGGCAGATACACCCTATAGTTCCCAAGCCAAAAGGCCAGGCCCGTAACCAAAGGGTGGCCAGGTGGAGCTGAGCCCCACCTAGAACGTGGTCTTGTTCCCACTGGAAATTACGGTTAATGGTTCCTTTACAAAAATTACAGGGGAGGTAATTATCAAAAACTTCTTGAACCACCCCTAGAAAAATACCGGCCACTCCTGCTACTTCATTCTGGCTATGGGGCTGCAACAGGCGTGGCAAGTTTAAAGACTTTGGGCCATAAACTACAGTAATGCTGAGGCATAAGCGGAAAACTAACATAAGGAAAAGTGGACAACTCATCTAAATTATTGTCAAGAGCCTTTTATTTATAACCCTGATTTTACAAAACACAAGCACAAAGTCATGTGTACATAACTTTGATATAGGAAATGTAGCTTGCATCAAAACCAACACCTATATTCTAAACCTAAAGTGAAATGAACTATAGTTAAATGGAATCGAGTATAGAGCTGACAAGCAAATTATTTACTACGAGCCATTTCAGGGACATTATCTTAAGTGACGCTCTTCCCCAAAGTAGTGAAATTGGAATTAAATTGGAGAGCTTAGGATGCAGCACGGAGGATAAGTCAATCGTAGATAATTTAATTGATTTCATCTCAAAAAAACACGTAGTGGGAGCATCGGTTAGAGAATTAAAGGTATAAACCTACGCTCCCAACTTCCTTCTCAGTCTTGTGTGCGTTACAGAAACACTTTTTGAATGTGGACGATACCAAACTGGTGGCTTTACTGAACATATTGGTAGAAATGAACGTTATTCTACGAGCGGGAATAATCTACACCGTGTTTGTTCACTACAAGCATAGGAAATCGTGGCTTGTGGAAAGCTGTACATTGGAAGACAATGATAGGCAGAAATTAAAAGTATCTAAAGATGAAGAATCACAAGAAGTGGACCTTCCTACCTTAGCTAGATCGTTAGAGTAAGCATAGTTGTTGTATTTGTGATGTGCCACTTATAAGATAATTTCAGCTCTTACACGGAAATTAAACTGCATATTAGACCATGGGCACGAATAGACGGGACGTTAAATTTGCGGATATTTGAGAAATGGTTGACAACTGTGCTCGGTTACTGTCTCGCGGAAGCAAGCATGTTATTTACATGCATCAGTACCCACCTTTGTTATTTAAAGCCTGTTGACATTTACTACTTACTTGAGGTAGGTCAATCACTGCTCATTAACCAAGCTTAATATTTTTGTTCAAGTGCTTGCAAGGAATTGGCTGCATTAGACTGATGACTTTTAAACCAAGCAGGTGTTCGCTATTGTCAGATCTTACCTTAGTTGAACCTGGTAACTGAAATAAGTTGGTCTATAATTGATTAATCAGTTATCGTTTATAGTTCCAGCAACAATTCTGGATGATTTCGAAGACATTTATATTGAGACTGACAAATTAGCAATTCTCAAATTTGGTGCTTTGTTAAATAAAAAACTGAAGGAATTTGATTTCCCAACGGATGTCTCTGAAAAGCATGGCACTTTTTAGTTAGTAAGTAAAATTAGCTTTTTGTAATTAAATTGTATATATACGTACAAAAAATACACTCTCTTACTTCAGTGATGCAAGGAGAGTTTTCTATTTTGATGATGACTCTCCATCTTGGTTCACGAATTTATGATGAAAATGAGGCAGATTTAATTGAAATTTTCTATTTACGGAACTCAATTGCCCCCCTCCTCGGTATGTGTGGTAATATAGAAACACATTATTTATTGCCTCATTCTAATCTAGTTTGTAATGTTATTTTAATGTCATTTCCTATATTGTCATTGCCAATAATTTTGTTGAATAAAACCGTTTATTCTAAAGGTTTTATCTATATCAATTTATTCAACAAAATAAAATAATGGAAAAGTTTCTGAAACCCATTCGATTGGATATTGATCCATCAGTTAGTTCCGCCTCCAAGGAATGGGAGCACTGGCTCCGAACCTTTGAGAATTTTCTCTTGGCATATACACCGACCGAAGAAGAAGATTTGCTTCTTTTTGCACCCAGTAAGTTGAATTTGCTAATCAATCATGTGTCTTCAAGGGTATACTCATATATCAGTGAGTGTTCAACTTATGACGCTGCTATCAGCCTACTAAATACGATTTTTATCAAACCTAAGAATATTATCTACGCTAGGCACATGCTAGCTACTAGAAAGCAACTTAATGAGGAAAATATCGATGCATACATACAGGCCTTAAAACTATTATCTAGAGAATGCCAGTTTCAAAGCGTGGACGCCGAAACTAATCGATCTGACAATATACGTGACGCATTTATTTCGGGAATCCAGTCAAATAAGATAAGACAGCGATTACTCGAGAATCTGACGTTAACCCTCGATGAAGCGTACAATCAAGCATTATCCTTAGAGATGGCAGAGATTAATTCCCAACAATACAACGTTATTGGCTTAAACGCTGTTCAACAACTTGGAGGAGGAGTATCACAGCCTGAAGATCAGTGCGAGGAACATACCGTCGCAGCTTCGCCCTCTTACAAGAGCTCTTACAAAAATAAACGAAAATGTCTCTTTTGCGGAAGTGGACGCATTCATCCCCGAAAGGAGTGTCCTGCTGTCAACCAATCCTGTCAACTTTGTGATAAGAAGGGACATTTCGCGATAGTGTGCCGCAGTAATAAGCCAAATAATGCTGCAGTTTTGGAACGAGGAGAAAATACTTCAGCATGTATAGGTATTGTAGCAGCTTCTCCCAGCTCTTTAAAGAAAGCAACTGTAATAGCATATATTCAAGGAGTCCGAGCTGAAGCACTGATTGATACAGGTAGTAGTTTGAGTTTCATAGATGAATCGTATTTTAATTTGTTACGACTTAAAAAGAAACCTAGTAACCAATGTATTTCAATGGCTTCAACCTCTCTAACATCACAAGTTGCAGGAGAAACCTGGGTATCTGCTAAAGTCGGCCAGTACGATTATCAAAATTTACATTTACTGATAGTGAAGGATTTGTGCGCTGATTTAATTATAGGTCACGATATTCTTAAAAAGCATTCTTCTCTTGAATTAAATTTTGGTGGAACGAAAGAACCTATCAAAGTGTGTGGAGTTGCGGCAGCTTCTGTACCTGCGGTACCCTTATTTTCAAATATTTCTTCTGATTGCAAACCTATTGCTATAAAGTCTCGAAGGTATAGCGAAGATGACAAGAAATTTATAAAAGAAGAAATACGAAAACTGTTGATGGAAGGGATCATCGAAGAAAGCACCTCTCCCTGGAGAGCTCAAGTTTTAATTACGAAGAATGCAACTCATAAAAAGCGTCTTGTAATCGATTATTCACAGACAATAAATAGGTATACGCTGCTGGACGCATATCCTCTTCCAAATATGGAAGAATTAGTATCTAATATATCGAATTATTCTATATTTAGTGCAATCGATCTGCAAAGTGCTTACCATCAGATCCCAATCTTATCCGAAGAACGACTATATACTGTTTTCGAAGCGCACGGAAACCTCTATCAATTTCGCCGAATTCCGTTTGGTGTAACTAATGGAGTGTCAAGTTTTCAAGGAGTTCTTGATTGGATCATTAGAGAGGAAGAATTGGAGGGAACATACGTCTATTTGGATGATATAACCATTTGCGGCAAAACTTTACAGGAGCATGACAAGAATCTCGAGAAATTTATGGCAGCCGCTTCCAAATATGGGCTGACTATTAACAAAGAAAAAAGTAAGTTCTCTCAAAATGCAATTAATATCCTGGGTTATCATATAAAGGATCATGTAATCAGACCGGATCCCGACCGCCTTCGACCACTTATTAGTATGCCGCCGCCCCATGATTTACCTTCATTACGAAGAGTTATGGGTTTGTTTGCCCACTATAGCAAATGGATACCAAGATTTTCGGAAAAAGTTCACGCCTTATCAAACACAAAGAATTTTCCATTAGGGAACGAACTTGTACAACGCTTTGAAGAGCTCAAATCTGATATTGCAAAATCAGCTATTAACGCTATAGATCATAACGTGCAGTTCACTGTCGAAACAGATGCTTCGGATCATTCCATAGCGGCAACCTTATCCCAGGCTAACCGACCGGTTGCATTTTTCTCAAGAACACTAAATAAAAGTGAACACAACCACGCTGCTATAGAAAAAGAGGCATATGCAATTGTCGAATCGTTAAAGAAATGGCGTCATTTCCTCATTGGCAAACCATTTCGTCTTATTACTGATCAACGATCTGTATCCTTCATGTTTAATAATAAACTATCAAGTAAAATTAAAAACGAGAAAATACAGCGCTGGCGTCTGGAATTAGCGCCATTCAAGTATGATATTGTGTACCGACCAGGAAAGCAGAATGATGTTGCAGATGCATTGTCGCGTGTTTGTGCTAATATGCAGACTCGCTCTGATAAACTCATTTCTTTACACGACGCATTATGCCATCCTGGTGTTTCGAGAATGACACATTGGGTGAGATCGAAAAATTTGCCTTTTTCTGTAGAAGAAATCAGGAAAACGACTAATTCATGTCGCGTCTGTTCAGAAATAAAACCTAAATATTTTAGGTCTGCTACGCCTGGTCCTGGTTTGGTAAAAGCTACCTCGCCATTTGAAAGATTAAGTATTGATTTTAAAGGACCAGTTCCTTCTAATACGAAGAATAAGTATATACTCACTATTATCGATGAATATTCACGTTTCCCATTTGCCTTCCCATGCGCTGACATGAGCTCTAAGACAGTAATCAAATGTCTTAATGACATATTTATGCTATTTGGTATGCCGTCTTATCTTCATTCAGATAGAGGGACTTCATTCGTTTCTTCGGAGGTAAAAGATTTTCTAAATTCACGAGGAATAGCTACAAGTAGGACTACCCCGTACAATCCTCGGGGAAACGGTCAAGTTGAACGATTAAACGGAACCCTTTGGAAGACAATCCTGTTGGCATTACGATCAAAGAACTTATCAGTAGATAATTGGGAAAAAGTATTATCACAAGCTTTACATTCGATACGATCCCTTCTGTGCACAGCTACAAATTGTTCGCCGCATGAGAGGATGTTTAAACATACAAGAAGATCTTCTAATGGGGTCTCGCTACCAACATGGTTGACGAATTCGGAACAAGTTCTAATGCAGAAATTCAATCGCTCCAATAAATACCAACCACTTGTGGAGGAAGTCACACTGCTTCATGTAAACCCCGATTACTCTTATGTTCGCCTTGCAGATGGTCGTGAATCGACTGTTTCAAATCGTCACTTAGCACCATTGAATCAAGAAGGTGAAAGAATTCCGGATATGATCAACATAGAACAGCCAGAAACTTCTGATTCAGACCAATCACCTGTAGAGCAAGTTGGCGAACCAAGATCGTTTTTGGATTCAGAAAGTGAAAGAATAGAACAGCCAGTAACTACTGATTCAGACCAATCGGCTGCAGAGCAAATTGAATCACCATCGAATTTTATTGACGAAGCGATTTCACGAAGATCAGTTAGGGAACGTAGGCTCCCAATCCGTTACAATGATTATATTTTAAAATGATGTGTGGATGAATGTGGTAATATAGAAACACATTATTTATTGCCTCATTCTAATCTAGTTTGTAATGTTATTTTAATGTCATTTCCTATATTGTCATTGCCAATAATTTTGTTGAATAAAACCGTTTTTTCACTACTAGCGTCTGATGACATGATTATTAACCTTTTTTCCACTTGTAAAGTAGGCTTTCTCGGCATTTGTTCAAAGTGGTTAATAATTTTTTATTATTAACTAGTAGTCAATAATGAGAACTGTCACGCTGTCACTTTTAGAAAACACAACCCGAAATTTCGCTCAATGAACGTTTAGACAAGTTCTCTAAAACGAATAATTGCCACCATTCGCAATTTCCAGAGAAATTACATACCTAAAATTATCACATTTTGAAAAAATTCGAACGAAATTACTCTTTGAAAAATCTCAATGACAGAACAAAATACGGCCTGTTTGACTTGTACTTCCACGTACTTGATTGACATGTTAAATTAAGAAACAAACAATTCTGTCCAACCGTTAACTCTCTTATCAATATAATATGTTAATTTAGAGGATTTCAAGTGCTAGTAGTGAAAAAAATAGTATATATACCACGGTAGAGAAGTCTATTATTGCCTTCGCACCTTACACCCCTCGGCGCAAGCGCCTCGAGATGTAATCTTGGTGCTCAGGCAATAATAGTGGACTTCTCTACCTTGATATATAATGTACTATTATTCTAAAGGTTTTATCTATATCAGTATGGGAGTGATAAAAGTTACCTTCAGCTGTCCTTGTAGCTCACCTTTTTTGTGATGTGCATTCTTTTAGGTTCAAAAACATGAAAGTAATGTTTCAGGGGTGGAGAGTGCCTCCAACGATTTCCCCCGCTTTCACGTATTTTCATCTACGATCCATGAGAATCGTGGTCGCATTTTGCAAAAATTCTGTACGCAAAAGCTGTCATTTTTAAAAAAGCGGGTGCAAGTTATTAGGATTTTGATATCAGTAGTTATAGTTTGTGTCTGTTTAGAAGGGAGTGGGTTGTAACAGGTGGTCACTTTAGGCTTAGAAAGATTCGGTTTCGATTTCACAAATTACAAACAGATAAGAGTCAAAACGCCACAGTGTTACCGGTTCTAAAAACCGCTATGACGGAGCATGAGGGACGGCTTTTCTAATATACTTTTGCATGTGTAAAAAACGTAGCTGACGCTTGTTTTGCATCAAGTAAAACTGGGTGGGAGAGAAGCATTCTTCGCCGAACTTTCGAAGTGAAACTATGTGAGTTGTATGCGGTAATTTTATTTCGCGTAACATTGGATTCTTCGCTGAACTTTCGAAGCGAATCTATGTAAATTGTCCGCGGCATTTTTAGAGCGCGTAACATTTTCAACAGAAAGTTGCAAGTCGAATTCATATAATCGAGGTATACGGCAGATTTAAAACACCACGTATCGTACGTGACAATTTTTATCGCGAACGTTGCAGGGAATCGCCGCATTACAAAAGAAAACTGCCGCCAACTCAATGAATTTATTGTTTATGTTTATGCGCCTATCTTGTTTATATGGGGCGATAATAAGATTCTAATTTAAACGGCAACCGGTAAAAAATTTAAAGACGATTAATTAATGCTATTGTGCACATTGGTGAATTATTACAGTGAAAAAATCAAAATTTTAACTATTAAATTTCGAGAAACCTAAAGGTCAGTTTGTTCTTGAGCAGTCAAGCGTCTCTCAAAATTCACTTTCAACGAGCAGTCAAATTTACCAGACGGTACAAAGGGTCAATTGTATTGCACAAGGTGTTCCACCGTCCAATTTTCCGAATTGCCGCTTCCTTTTCAAAAGGAGAAAATCGACTGAATCTGGAGAAAATTTCAACTCATCGAAAAATGTAAGTTATTCGAATTTTTTGCAATATGTAAAAATACGAGTCGATCAATGTCAACTTAACATTCCTGAAAAGGTCGACCTACGGAAGTTTATACGCTGAACAGATGTTTTATGAATGACAAGCTAACCCAAATAAAAGATTTTGGTGATTTTTTTCATTAATTGTGAAGTGGAATTTTAAGTTCATTGATTCGATTCTTTTGTGTGGGTTAAATTCTATTTAATAACCAGAGGTGGATAAATCTTTTGAATAGAAAAATGTACTAGGCGTTGGGTTAATTACAAACAGTAAGAAACCTAGCTATACAATTAGATTTGAAACGTAATCACAAGAACCCCAAAGGGGGGACAATAATAATGAATGGGCCAGAAAGTGAGTCTCACTTACACACAAGGACACTTGTAACTCTATAATAGACGTTCTGCTCCAGCAGCATAAGACACAAAGTGAACAGTTGGAGAGCGATAGGTGGCAGAACAGATACGGACGAAATGCAGACCTGCGCGGAAGTTAGTACCGCGAGTGGCGAGGGGCGCCTACCAAGAGACAGGATGGAATGACCGCTTATTGGCCAATATCACACAGGACGCGAGGTGGGTTCTTGCGAGGAGACGTTTCTAACGCAAGTTGAGTAAACAAAAATGGAGGAGGGGCGTACGGAATTGAACACGTAGCGAAACAAACTAAAGAACAAAAATATTTGGGACAAAGGGTTACTAAGTTGTTACGAAAATAGCCGCCAGGAAATTACTGGTATTGGTTGTCAAAACGATTACGTGGGCTAAACCGGACATACGATCCAAATCGATAAAAGAGTCTTTACACTGGCGTTTATCCGGAAGTGGGGAAGACACCAAAGTTAATATTAATATCGAAGGCAGCAGGACCATACCGAATCAGCCTTCTGGATTTTGCAGGAAAATCATGGAAAAGGTAACGCCTAATATAGGTACCTTCAAAAAGGGCAAAACAAAGACGGTTGGGGATGGCAAATGGAGTACATGGCGAACGAGGAAGATCGGTTTCGCTGCATTCCTCTATTTCAGGAAACCAGAAGGGAAAGAGATAAATTTAGTTAGCCAAGTGCCACAGGGATCATAGTTCTTGGACCCCTGTTATAGAATGTTGTGTACGATGGGGTGTTAAAGGTAAGCTTCATTCATGCCAGACTAGATTAAACCTTCAAGTGGTCCATATTAGTATCCGAAATAATAGCTAATATGGTATTGTTGAATGTTGTTCATTTTTATTATAATTCATTTTATTTACAAGGATATATGGAATGATATCTGGACATAATATTTGTTACCAAAGGATGTCCACCAGACTAGGACTGGATATAATTCACTTTCCAAGATAAACGACGGGATGATGATATGCAGCATAAGGGTACAGGTATGGGTACACCACGTACCCAGTTTCGGATCCTTCTAAATCAGCATTTTTTGGTCCTTCAGCCCTAGAAATATTTAAACATATTGTGCAATTGGCCCGAACACTTAAAATGAACTTACGCTCTAACTTGTCGATTTATGGGAAAACCATTGTAGTGTTTAATTGCCGAATTGACACAGCATAGCATCGCAGCCACAAGTAAAATTGCCTGTAGGATTGTTTGATATTGCAGTGAACTGAAAAGTGTACTTACCGTTACTGTAGATCTCATCTTGTGAATTCAATTCTTTTACTGTTGGGTAGGTAGATTTAGAGAACTTATATACCTACTTAATGAAAGGGAAGTAAGAGGATCTTGTGATTTATAGTTTGACAATGCTAGTATATTCATTATTGCAATTTATTGTATATTTCTCTTTGTAGTAATTGTATTATTTACAGGTGGATAATTTAGATTAGGTCTAATGCAATAAAGTACTGCCTATTGATATGGAAAATTGTATCTACCTGAGAGACAGTGAAAACTTGTAAAGGCAAGAGGGTTGAATTTTAAAAAGTTTCTACAGATCAGTAGGTATATTGTTCCTTACGATGTATTTTATTACGTTTATACTCTCATGAATTATTGATAATTATTGCAGATGTTGTTGGTCACGTATTTAAATAATGGATTAATTCCAAGGTTTTGTTTCACTTTCAAGGTTGCTTAAGACTATACTGTTGTTATTGTGTTATTGCCACATTGAAATAATTATTTATACAAAAAATATAGTTATTTGCTGAGCTTGAGAAACTAGGGCTTGCAATTTAAACAAAAAATTTTCTAAACTGAAGCTCATCAGGGTTTAATCCTTAGATTAGACAATATTAATTCGTCAGTTGAATTTTACCTTACGAGTAATTTGTAATGTGTATTGTAGCCTTTGAACTTTAGCACAAACTTTAAACGAATATATTTAGCTTGATTTTTTTCAAAATTGTTTTCTGGCTACAAATGCATGGTAACATTACCATACCTAACAACAGTGGCGGCTCGTAAGCTGCGTAGAAGGTAGTGCCAAATTGTGTCCCCCTCCCCATTATTTTAATAGTTACAAATTTTTATTTTCATATTATTCCAGTTATTTAGATTTTGAGTATAATTCGAATATTTATAATGCAAGTGACAGAAACAAATCTAGCCCTTTAATTTCTTTGGAGACTTGTTTCATAAGTATACTTCAAGTATGCATTCCAGTAATTCATTTTGTGTTGTTTTAGATGAGAATTAGCGGATTTTTTTTGACAAAAAATCGTATGGAAAGTGTTACTTTTTTCACGATTTGTACTATCTGTTTTCATGGCGTTTAGTCCGATCTATAAACAATAGCAACATTTTATTTGCCGTTTTATTAATGAGGCCGAAGTATCATTTTCAACAATAGTTGTACAAATAACTATTCAAATCTTTAACTACACAAGTACTGAAATTTATTAATTCTCTCAATACCTACTCCTTTATTTTCGGACTTATCGCTATTGTCGAGTTCAGACACATTTCGTTTTTTAACAATATTTAAGTCCGGTAACGGCCTGCTTAATTGCTTTATTTAAAGTCTATCTTCCAGAGAATGCATGGAAAAAGATTTATTTAAATGATTTTTTAATTTGTGTATTTTACGTAACAATTAATCCGGGAAGAGTAATCTTACACAGAAGTAAAAAAAATTGTTTGACTTATCACGACTGAAACAAGGAAAACGGCGCAAAGCATAGTAATACACGTACACATTATTGAATTGTGCTTATGAGGCAAACTTCTGATGGCTCAAGTTGTACGTATTAAACGCTACTTCGGTTTCGCTCCTCCCACCCCTCTACTCCACGCGGAAGTCCACACTTGTAGGAAAATACGAGCCAGTTTCAGTTTGGCACGGCTCGACCGTATGCGAAGTCCACGAATAAGCACGAATGAATTCTTCTTGGTACCTAATTTATCAAATCATTTACTTTTTTTGTTTTAAGTTTTAAAACACAATTATGTACTCTAGTGAGCACAATTAATAATAGTTAATTATTTATATTTTAAGAATTGATAATTAGCAGGTTCCTTGAGGTGGTGCCATGGCTCCTTGAGAGCCGCCCCTGCCTAACAATGGGCACCTTATGATTGTATGAAACTAAATCAGATGTGTGTCTGGATTCTGATATTAGTGTGGACAGGGACCACGGGTACCTAGGTCTCAAATTCGGGCCCTTTACTATCTCCCTGAATAAAGTCGTCCGACCCCTTTCACTCAAGCCATCCCCACACGGTGCATGTGTTTGTTTAATTTTCAGTGCCCAGAAAGTGTACCCACCACAAGTAACCTTCTTGATAGCCTTGTGCAAAAACGCGCCAGGCTACGAGATGGTGCGTTTGAAGGATTCTCTTGCATGGCAACAATTTAACATCATGTTTCATAGCTAGCTGTGTGCGGTATTTTGAATATATATAAATAAGTTGTTTACAGTTACAACTGTAAATGGAAGAGTCAGTTCTAGACCTGTTTTGAGGTCAGTCGGGCTAACTCATCGGCTTTCCATTCCAGCATGCCCTTTGACCCAAATGTGTTCAAGGGTGTTGCTACTTGCTCTAGTGGATGTGGTGACATTCGGAAAGCAACCTAAAGGTAATTTTACAAGTGCTCGCAGGGTTGTCCTGTTGTCACTGGAGATTCTGATAGTTCTATAGTGGAGACAGATCCAGAAGGCCCTCCATGACGGCCGTGCTAGTTGTTCGCATCGCGCTCATGCAATCAAGGCACGCAAGTCATTGATTAAGAAGGGCTGCGGTTGTGGAGAGTCTGGTTTTAGGCCACCAGACAATTGCTCCATAGTAGAGCATAGGTCTTATCACAGCAGTGTATAGCCACAAGACAGCCTTCGGTGATGGTCTCCCAATGTATAAAGATTGATACTGATGATTTTTGCATGGGTTATAAAAAACTACCTCATTATTTTTGCGATAATGTTTATTTTAAAGACTAAAAAACACAAACATTAGCTTTATTACTAACCACCACCAAGGTTTGGTTTGCACGACAAATATGGTGGAATTACACATTCACAAATAGTTGTGCCATGTCGGTATTTTTCCCCAACGTACATTAAACGATCACCAAATGTGCATTGAGGCGCTGAAATTCAAATGTGACCTATATTACCATATGCAATTATCACGCATTGGTACTTACTTGAAGAGACGGGTGAAGTTGATGATGGAATATACTCGCCGTCATCAGAAGCTGTAAAAGCACTTAAATACACAAGAAGAAATGTACTGTCGATTACTTACGACACAACCACGATCGTGGACAACAGTCATCAGGATTTACATAAGTTGGTGCACAGTATTTGTGGAGTTTCTTAGAATGCACAGTCTCACTGGTGCAATTAAACCTTTGGCATTGAGGTGCGTCGAATTTGCCGTTAAAGTTCTTGTCGCAAATGCAGTTGGTGCACTTCTTAGTGGGATGTCGGAATCTTTCTCCTTCCCTGTAAGTATTATCGCCAACCTTGCATTTGGCATTATCGTCATTAAATGGTGCTGTAATTAAATTTTAGAAACTACAGATGTAATGCGTGTTTTGGGGAACTTACGGCATTTCTGTTCCACATGACAACAACGATTGTGCTCATACGCCAAATAGCATCCTGGTTTTATAAACCCGGGAACCCAAAACTCGGCACATGAGTCAGATGGGATAATACAATCAAACAGTCCCCTAAAATACTATCTAATTCACTGGTCTTTGCATAGGTAGGTATACTTATCACCGCAGGTACAGCTTGCGTGGCTACAGTCACTACCCACATCTTCCTTACTGGGTCTATCGCCTGGCTTGTAATATTTTCCTTTCACCTGACAGGTTCCTTTAGGTTGATTGTAAATGTGCGAGCAATCATATTCTATAGGGCAACATGTGTTCAGATCAGAAAATTTTGGTACACACTTCAGATCTTCGTAAACTAGCGTTGGCACTGCGCATTCATTGCATTCTCCTAAAAATATAATGAATTTGCGAATTCGAAGAGACCCTTACCATTCACCGAATAACGAGTTGCAACAACTAGAATGATCCAATGTGCTATCATTTTTCTTTTGTGACAATTGCAGGACACCTACTAACACAGATCGTATTGCACAATGCGTTTATATACTCGGGCGCAATTCAGGGCACAAACATTGACTGCGATAACACACCTATAAATAAAACATTCATCAGAACAAAACCTATTTCGATACCTACTTCTTTTTATTGTGCATGCCGAGATTAAACAATAAATGTGAATACCTACACTGTAAACAATTAAGGTATTCCCCTTTAGCTGCAGATTAGTATGCGTAGCATTCCTAGAATGGTTAAGTGATCGAGTGAGAGATTGAATGACCAATGTTAATTTTGTCAGGTGGCCTCAATTCTGTAGGTACCGTTTTACTGCATCAAATGGAGTCGTGAGCTATCTCATAGGCACAGTGAAATGCCAAATGAAAATTAGGAAATTGAAAATCAAAGTGTACCAGTGCACATAAACTCAGTTTTGACAGAGATGTCTGAAAATTGGTCTTCCTTCAAAAAAAAATATAGGTATTTAAGGGCTGCAAGGATAAAGAAGAAAAAATGTTTCCAAACCTACTGGTGGGTGCAGTTGCCGCGTAATACAACTGTAAATGATGCTCCTACATGCAATGTCCCAAACCACCCCGTTTGTAGAACGAACAAAAAAGCCTGTTAAAATGCTATAGTTGTATTTCTATAGTGTTCGTTGTGTAGATTGATTTTCTCCAATTTAAATTTTTTTACGATCGTGTGAGAACGAGATATTCCCCAATATATATGGAACGATCCTCCCAACTTGCTCCATGTCTCAGTTAGCAATTTAAATTTCATAGGGACATATATATTGCCTCAGCTTCATGTTTGGATAACAGTATCTGGTCCAGTATAAATAGAGCAATTTTGGCTACATCACTGTGTAACAAAAAATTCTTGTTTTACCTGTTTGATGTATAAATTCCTCAGATTTTCTACTTATAAACAAACAAAATACTATTTTCTTCAATTGAATGGTATATTTTAGTGCTGACCTATTCTATTCGATGATAACCTGTCCCATATATTTAATCACACATTTTCTAAAGCTTTGGATCCGGTTTCAAAATGTTTGTAGTCTGTTTAATCCCAACAGTGTAGGAGCATACGACATGCTTCTACAATTAGTGTTAATTTCAGTTGCTGCGAGCACAAAAGGTTTGCATTAGGTATAAGTGATAAAATATTTGGATTGGTACCGTTTTAGGAGAATGTATTGAGTGTAATTCGCCAACGTTGCTGTACCACGAATTAAAATGTACCCCTACATTTTCGGATGACAACAAATGTTGTCCACTTGAATACGATTGCTCCAACATTTACAATCGGCCGGAAGGAACTTGCCACTTGATGGGAAAATATTATAAGCCCGGCGAGAAACCTGCAGAAGAAGATGTGGCTAGTGATTGCCGTTTTCCATTTTGCACATGTGAAGAAAAGTATATCGTTTGCTTGTTTACGGAAGCCAAAACCTTACAAAATGTTTTAGTGGACTTTTCAATTGCAAGTTGCCTTCAGACTCTTGTGCAGAGTATTGGCTACCGGTACTTAAAGAACCGGGTTGCTATTTGACTTACAAACATAATCTTTGTTGTAGTGTAGACCAAAAATGCCGTAAGTATTAGGAACACAAATGTACATTATTAAAGCCAAAGCTTTCAGCACCTTTCAGTGAGACAGACGGCAAATGCGAAGTTGGTGAAACGACGTACAAAGAAGGGCAAAGGTTCAGTCACCCAACCAAAAAGTGCGCCAGTTGTATTTGTGACAAAAGCTTTAACGGTTCATTTGATCACTTATGCCAATTGCGAAATTGCTCAAGTGAACTGAAACATTCTAAGGAAATTCACAACTATTGTGCACCTTACTACTTCCACTCAGACGATTGTTGCCCCCACTCTTGGATATGCCGTACGTATTTCAATGTATATGTCTTTTATTATCTGCATTTTCTTAACAGCATCCGAGGGTGGCATTTTTTTGCCACCACCAACTTCACCTTTACTTGGTGAGTTCACGTATTGAAGGTACCTAACTATTTTCTTAATAAAATTAATTTCAGATACGCAATGTCGATTTGGAACTTACGCAATGTCTATTGGAGAGAAATATCGATTTGAAAATACAACATGTGAATGCCTAATACCACCATTCTTAACATGTAAAACAGTAGAATGAAAATCATTGTTATAGACGCGCATTGTGTCAGTTAATTTTATCACAAAGCTTTTTACTTACAGATTAAATAAGATTTTATAGTCGCACTAGCATTATTGAAAAAGATGTCTACCATGTGGTCTATAGAAAGATAACTACCTACTTCAAGGTATAGGCTACCTATTCCGGGCCTCTAGGTCAGTTCCCCGAAAAATAGTGGGTTAGGACGAACGAACAAAACGCAATCAATAGCACATTTTTTTTAGCTCTTAAAAATGCGCTAAAAATCACTACCTTATATCATTGAATCATTTTCCTCAAAGTGAAAAATCGCCGTTGGCTGCACTTTGTCGTTCGTCTGTCACCACTTACTACTTCTACACGTCTAAACCGATTTGGGCGTTAAGGGGCTCATTTGAAAGTGATTGGTCCAGGGTCCTGTGAGTAGCGATATTTTTTGTTTTGCGCATGCGCAGTGTCAAAAGATTGGTTTAACTAAGGTGGAATGCTAAATATTTTATTTATGAAGATTTATGAAGGATCAAATGTATCTATAAACACTAGGAATATAAGGAAAACTAACGACGTACTCAAAATATTCTTTGCGCATGCGCAATTCCAACTTTACGTATACCGAACTGGCCGCTTAATTTCATTAGAAAAGTTCCCCACGCCAGTCTATCCGGAGACAAGGCAGAATTAATGGGCTGTACGTGTCAGTTTCTGATGAGTTGAATCCGTTTCGTGGCGCAAAATGAGAACTGATTACCAGAGAGGTTTTCTGGCTAATGATTTTTCTAAACGTGGGATTGGTAGGAACATTCCAGAACACGAATTCCAAAGCTGTTTTGAACCGTTGCGGCATCGTCTAAAAGTGTACTGCTGCCTAAGAGGAGGACTTTGAACGCGATCATAGTTGGCAAATATCGATATAAATCAATAGAAAAATCTCCTGGTCATTCTACGTATTGATTAATCATTATTATAGCTGTGTACGGCGTATTATGTCAATATAGGAATACGTGCAGTCATTGAAACATGCTTTGCACTAGACGAAACTGCACCGGCTCCTGACGTTTCATCTAATTACTTGATTTATTTCTTCAGTTCTGACTACAATATAGCATTTATAAATGCAGAAAAATGAAATTATCTTTTATCATTTTTTTTCGAAACGAATTGGGAAATTAAAGAAGCGATTATCGTTGAACCACAAGATAATCACATCTCAGGGATCATCCGCGATTAATTGGTTCAGACCGGACTTTCACTTTTGTTTACAATTCCGAACACGTAAGTCGCAATTTTCGTTGAATGTGTGAAAAATGATGAGAGAAATGGCCTCTGGTGTTGATAGCAGGTGGAAAAGCAGCACCATAGTCAACTCTACTGGTGTAATTGTGATGATTCTTCTTTTACAAATATCTATTGGCTTATACACACATAAATTATTAAGAACAATATTTCAAAAAAACATACACGAAAGAATAAGGATTGAAAAAGCACATTTGAGGAATGAGTTAAAATTAAATATTCAAAAAGTGGACTTTGGCAACCACGATGAGTTACAAATGTACAGGCGAGGACGATCCGAGGATTCCGAGGTGAGTTGGATAGCAAACCTACAAGCATAGTTTTGTTTCTTTTTAGGAAATAGTAAAAAATATCTGCACCGTTGTTCGTGAAAATTGTATGGGCGTTACTCTAGATGATGGAAGGATGCTGCGCCCGCCCCCAGCCGACCCAAACATTTCTTAAAAAATCTGGAGTAATGAGGATACCTATATGCATTATCAGTATTTTATTGAATAAATTAAAAACTATAAAATATGGTGGTATCATTAGACCCATGCCCATATCCTATCAGGTAAAAATCAAAATCGCACACCTTCCTGTTTTAACAAAAATCGACTACACCAAAATTTCTCGGGAAAAGATTTTTTCTTATTAATTTTGGTGCGTAGAATCCAAAACAATTCGTACTTTTTCGATTAGACTTCTCAATCAAAAGTTATAGACTAGAAAGCAATTTCGAAAGAAAATTCAAAAGGCTGTAACTTTTGATCCAGTAGCCCAATCTTGGAACTGTTTGAAATTATGGATTCTACAGACCACATTCTATAAGAAAATGTTTTTTCCCGGTCGATCTAAGACCATTTTCGCTACACTTTTCCAAATTATTTTCTTTTAATAGTGGAACAAGTTCCAATGAGATGACGCCACGTGCGTATCTACTTCCTAAAGAAAATTTCAATTTATTCGCTTAATAGCCACGTCCCACCCAATTTTCCTTAAAGGGTAGTTCAAAATGTGCAATCTCTTGTAGGATTTGTAGAGCAATTGTACTTCAATGATCCAGTATTTGGAATTGTCTTTTGTTTAAGTAATTGCTACGCGTGCGCCATCTCTCTGGTAATCGCTACACTTTTCCAAATTACTTTCTTGTAATAGTTGAACAAGTTCCAATGAGATGACGCCACGTGCGTATCTACCTCCTAAAGAAAATTTCAATTTATTCGCTTAATAGCCACGTCCCACCCAATTTTCCTTAAAGGGCAGTTCAAAATGTGCAATCTCTTGTAGGATCTGTAGATCAATTGTATTTCAATTAACCGAAAGAAAATTCAAAGGGCTGAACTTTTGATCTAGTAGCCCAATCTTGGAACTGTTTGAAATTATGATATGTCAAAATGAACAGTATATTTTTCATGTCTGTAAATTGAATGACAAAAATATAAATAAAAATAGACAACGTATAACAGGTTTATTCTGCTTCTAAATTAATTACGGCCAACTCGTCGCTTAGATCTCCCACTGAAAATAAAACAATTATTTTTTAATTAACAAAAAAAGTATACTAACAGCTATCGTTAGCCGAAGCCTCCTGAATCATCTCCCTTAATTTGGCAAATTCTCCATGCACGTGTAGCAAACGACTTGTTCCAAATGACTTTTGTGAACTTTTCCTGGATTGCATGCCATCATGCGATCTGTGCGTCCTTTGCTTGTGTTCTTGTGACTTAACATCAGCCAAAACGGACAGCAACTTCGAAACTTCGTACTCAAGCTGTTTTGTTTCCGATCCCAATCTTAAAACTTTTCTCGCAGAGTGTAGGTCTTCGGTTACATTGTCGTCTATTTGTTGAGCCAACTCCAGTTTTATTTTCATAATTAGATCATCTAGAGCCGATATACCGGTGGCGAGCGCGATGTTTTTGATATGTTGATTCCCTCCATTGGTTTTAAGCTTAAAATAACCAATGATAATAAAAGATACTATGTCAATCCTGCGGATCTCACTATGGACACAATGTTGATTGGGCTAAGTTAGATACTTTTAAATGAGCGTGACGCATAGGTGAATGCTAGTGATAAGGATGCTCGTCAATTGTGAAATGATAACGACCCCTATGGCAGCTACGGAGACCCTCTTGAACTTACGGTTCTGAGACTTAGCCAGAGGCACTTAGAGGGGCATACAGGTTAAGAGTCAATGATGAGGAGCGATCGTCAAGGGTGGGGGACTCGCTCAACTTTGATTGAAATCTCAAAAGATAAAACTCTCAGCATAACAACCGTTTGTGTGGCTCAGTGTTAGAAAGTTGGGCTACATAGTCGGGAGGTCGGATGTTCGAACCTGGGTTGAGGTGAATTTTTCATCTGTGGCAGAGATGGGAATTTCCTGTTTCGAGCACTGGAAACGCGCACTGGCGGTCTCTGCCATAGAAACGTAGCGCGCCGAGAGAGATAGTGCAAGGGGGATTTCTGTCACTGTCACTCATTGGGAAACTGATCATAAATATAAATTCAAAACGTATCAAATAGGCTGCTCTAAGCATGCGCTAGAGTGTGACAAAGATCCCCCTGTGGCCCTCTCTCTTGGATCCTGCTGACCGTCGCAGCACGTTTGGGAGGATAATTCCAGTAAGTTAAGCTGAATGGAATCGTGTATTACACAGATGGTTCTAAAACTATTGTAGGGTACTGGCTTTGGAGCCTTCAGAATCAATGGACGGGCCTGCACGATGTCTATTACCCTAAATACTGGGAAACACAGTAGACCAAAAGTGCAGGAATTGACTGGGACCACCCTTAGTATTATAATAATAATGACATTATTAATTTGGTAACTTGCTCCAATTTAACCAACAGCTGTTTTAAGATAGATAAGACCCCCATAATGAGACGCGAAAAAAGAGCACCTCGTAACTTACCAGTTCTAGTGACTCGACCAACTTCTGCTGATGGGCTTTCAATATGTGGCACTCATCGCTCTGACTGTTACTTGGAATCTCATCGTGCAAGCTATTCTCAATTTTTATTTGATGATGCAATAACTCGGAATATTGCTTTACTAAGTCACCTTCCACTCTCGCCAACTCCACTTCTTCGCTGGCACAGTTTTGCTCTACGTTTCCTAACAGTTGTTCCATCTCTCTTTGCCGATGTTTCGTATTCCGTTCTAAAATTCGCTCTCTAGACTTATTCAGTAATTCCATTTCTTCAAGTTGTAAATGTCGGCGTAATTCATTAATGCGGTTTCTTTTTTCTTTCACGCGTTCGGTTTCTTTCAGTATTTTATTACGATAAGCAATTTCCATTTCTATAGAAATAACATATGCATAGATTCAAAAAAGGAACGATTGTAGATACCTGTCAACCTCTCTTCTTCAACCCGTTGTCTTTCTTCAATTTCCATATTCTTAGTCAACATTTGTCTATGCGTTAGCATTATTTCGGTCTCACGATCGATTTCCTTTTGTTCATTCTTTAACTGTTGTATTTGATCAAAATTGAAGTTAACTAAGTTCTTTGGAAACCCAGAAAAGCTAGGGTACGATCCGCAAGGCAGACACCTAAAAGAATGCAGGAAACGCCTCGGGTGGTTTTTTTCGCTTATGTTATCCATCAGCGCGTACACTTTCAAAATAAACTTTTTCACATCAAATGTGTTCGGATAATGGTAAAAGTGCTCGAAGTCGCTTGTTTTGCTCATACCTAACAGTGTCTGTCGATTATAAATGCTGTATGCAGCAACACATGTGATTAAAAAAGCAGGTTCGTTACTTAAAATGTGATCCCATAGCCTGTACCAGTAAACTCCGCTCACTGTTTCAGAAAATGCTGCCTCTAAAAGGGGCCAAGCATACAGTTTTGAAGTTATATCGTTATTTGTCAAGTGCTCGAGTAGTTCTGGATCCTGCTCAAATATAATATTCTCGATCATTGCCAAAATATTTATGGGGGGCAAGGGGAAATACTCGAACCAATATTGACACCAATTTACTAAAAAAAACCTCGTATTAATCAGAAAGACAAAATAATAATGGCCAGTTTTCTAATCAGCTTGTGATACAACTTACATATAATAGAACAAACTGCTTCAAAGCAAACGATGGGTTCGTTTTGAAAAATCTTGATAAACGGAAAGACAAATACTGGCATGTAGGTAACATGGGCGAAATGGGGGCACCAGGTAATTAAATTCGAAAGCAGCTTCTTAAGGCTGAGCAGTGCCAATTTATTGTCGAGGTGTAGGTTTTCGAAGGGCGCAGGTGATCCATGGTTGATAAAGTTATTGTACTGTTTTTTGTTATTAGGGAGTTGTAAAAGTTGCGCCCAAATTTTCAATCGATACGAATCGGGGTATTCGCCGTACTCTTTCAGTATGGCAACAAGTCGGTCAGTTGCCAAGTATTCGTTCATCTGGAAATGATTTCAATAAGTAGTTCAAATATTTCAACAACTAATTTACAATACAATTATTTAAATTTTTTATTTGTGCTTTGTGAGAATTTAGTTGAGTTGTGTCGTTGGAATAATCTAAAAAGCGAAAAGAAATTTGATTCGGCCCAAAAAAGCACCAATATATCGAAAGTCTCTTTTTTGTTTATCATATTGTGTGTACCTATATGTTGGTAAAAATGCTGTGCATTTTAAAACTTCGTTAGCGTGAGTTTATTTTTTCGGTGTAATATATACCTATTCGAAATTGGATACTGCGCTATCTCGTTTCGTTCCATGCTATAGATAGCATACAACGATTCTCTTTTTAATTGTACACCAATTCTGTTATCATTTACTTACATAAATAAGAAACTTGCGTTTTGCGCATGAACAATATGTGCAGTACGTTTTTTTGCGCATGCACTTTGTTTGATTCTTTTAGAGGGACCTACAATTACAATTTCGTTCAAACTGCTCCATACACAAAAAAGTTGCGTTTTGCGCATGCGCAGCACGATTTCTTGCGCATGCATTTTATTTGATTTTTTAGGAGACCAATATAAAAATCGCATCGTTTTAGCCTTTGTCATTTCCGAATTCTTCTCAAGACAATGGGGGGGGGGGGGGGTACATATATCTCACGCTTGTATAGAACCGTTGACACATTGCTCTGCTGATGTTCAAAATATGCGCGATATTTAAGAATCTTTGGGTATAACTTTGGATATATTCAAAGGGTTACAATGTCAGAAAAATATCTCAATAAATAAGAAAGTTGACATTGCGCAGTCTGCGCATGCGCACATTAATGATCAAGATTTTTCTTGGTCGAGCTGCCACAGCTATAAGTTACCGAATGGCAAATACCAACCGAACTAAATATCTTGAAAACTGTAGCCTTAACACAGAGAAAGTGGGCATAATAGCGCCTTCCAACATGAGTTGGAAAATGCGCTAAAAAATGCTTACATAAAAGTCATAAAAATATACTCACCTGCTTTTGAATATTAGCAAGTTCCGACTTCTTCTTCTGTATTACACTGTCACGACTCTTGGGTACCCTTTGAGCAGACCTTGAGTTTGTTTTCGTTCTAGTATACTTTATGGTGGAGTAAATACAACATTCTCCGGAGTGTAAAAGACAGGACACATACTTTCCATCTCCGGAGCAATCAAATTTTAAAATTTCAGCCTTATTCGATATTTTATTAAGGATTTCTTCAGTTTCCATATTGTAAAAATACAGAACGCCTCCCCCAGATAGTATTCCCAAAACTTTATTCGCACCACCATCAAATGGTTGCGGTATAAATGCGATCTTTCTTATCGACATTATGTATTCTGGCAAGGTGAGTGTGTGACTAGCAGCCCAAGTGTCGATCATGAAGATTGTTAGCTGTGACAAACGGTCGGCCAAGACCATAGCACGTCCATTTCTACAATATGTTTGCAGTAAATGTACCACAAAGACTTTTACAAACCTTGTAAATGTAATACTTTTTATGGATTGCAGTGATTTTGACTGGATTTCTTGAGACACTTCGTAAGTGCCATACTTCCACACTACAATTGAATTATCATCGAAACAAGCTAAGATATCGCCAACAATTGGTGTAAACATTACCTTTAAAAGTGAGCGAGCTAACAAAGCATCATATAACGTTCATACATACATGTTTAAGGATACAGTCATCCAAAAGAGATAGCACCTGAATTTTTGAATTTGACCTTAGATCCCAAATTACTGCCTCTTTTCTTGAGGCACTTAAACATATGTAAGGAAGCGAAAACGATACATCCACCACTGGATAATTGTGACATAGCAATTCTCCGGTAATGTCACAGGTATCAATGTTAATTATGTATAAAGCACCCGTCTGCACCCCTAGTATTACTTCACCGGCATTATAAGCTGAGAATTTTAAAACGGTACACAAGCTTATAGCAGGTAACACCCAAAATTTCTCACGCTCCAAATCTATTACCACTATATTCCCAGTGTGATCACTCGTTACCAACACATTCTCTTGCCTGTTGAAGCATAAGTGTATAAACCGTCGGACCTGTTTAAGTGCTCCTTTTTCCACTGTGTTCTGAACTTGTAAAAATAATCTAAAATTGAATTATTAATTACATTTCGTAATTATCATAAAGTAGATACCCATCTTTTGCTGGAGGTTTAATTTGGAGCACTTGCTTAGATATTTCTTCTTTGTTTGTGTATAAATTTATGTTTAAATTATATTGCATTTGTGTTCAGATTTGAAATTTGTAAATAATCAAAACAATGATTGGTGGCTATTGTGCCGACAAAACGGTAACTGTCAACGGTCAATACGTCACAAGAATGTGACTCCATTGACGCATCCAAATTAAATGCGCCAACCACATATTTATTTGTTGATGCTCATCGGAATTTTTTTTAGTCCAAAAACCCATTTACATACAGTTGTCTCTGCACCAAGTGGAAGATCTGCTAATCTTCAGTTTTGATTTGGGGATCTTCCGTTCCGTCACTAGGAAAACTGCTGCCTCCACTCCTAGTTTTTAAAGCGGTCTTCGACAGCGTTTCCGGTAGGGCAGATACCGAATCCTCCAATACACCTCTCCCTTTTTAGTCGTCGTTCAAAAAACCAACCAGTCAGAAAAGTACTCTAAAACAAAATTTAATAAATAACAAATTGTGATATGAAATTGAATTACCATTATGTCTGCAACACAAAAGAAAGAAACACCAAAAAGTACGTCTGCAACCGACAAGGGCTTGTAAACACCAGTCAAGCAACCACAGATTCCTTGTATGGCTTTAGCCCATTTTATTGAATATCGAAAAAGGATGAAGATACAAAAGGTACCTACCTTACAGTGCATGTAAGGTTACATACATAATAAAAAAGAAATTTATTTTTAATTCATATATTTATTACATGATTCAATAACACGTGGAATAAAAAGTAGATAAACAGTGGGTATAAAAATTCACAATACTATGAAATACTTGGCACACTTGCAATATAGAAATTTCTGAGCAGTTGCATCACACAATTAGATAGAAAATGCAATACTTAAGACCGGTCTTTTATGTTTCAGTTAAAATTATTCAATAGAAAACTTTCAATGTAAGACACATTTGTTTCAATGGAAATGTAATATCCGACAGATCTAACAGTAAGATGAAAAACCGGCCCTTAGTCTTGAAATAGAAAAAGTAATTGTATAAATAGGTAGCAGTTATTGCTGGTATCACAAAAAAATGGAAAGCAGCAAACATTTTCATTTTGTATTCTTCATCACTTCTTCATATGATGGAGGCAATTGAGAAGCAATAACATTCTGCAACAAATAAATCATTAACTACTGTTACAGCATTAAAAATGCTTACTTCTGCTGGTTTCATGCTTTCTTGGTTTGTCAAACCCATGACCATTGCATCAGATTGAGCTTGTGGCTGCAATGGTTGCGAGGTTGGTTGATTGCTTATCACAGATTGAGGCTCTTCTTGTACCACCGGCTTGTCTGAAATATAGGGCATTGTTTTTTTTTAGTTAAGTGAGATGGTGTACCTAGTCAGAAGTTACCCATGTAGGAAAGTATTAACGTCGAGTGAAAGTTATTCAATCAATGGTATGGCTATAGAGCACACACTAAAGAAGATTATTGATTAGCACACTTTGCGTAGGTATTATTGCAGCTTGGTTATCAAAAGAAAAGAGAGCTTTTAAAATACCTTAGGATCAAGGGTCTTAATTACAGACCATGCTTAGGATCCTTATAAAATATTCTACTGCATCCAGAGTGGCCCATGAACCAAATGTGTAGGATTGGTTGCTTATACGTTGCCATAGAAACTTATGCAACAAGTGCTGATTCATGAATATTCATAAAATAACTTACTTTCTCGGACTTGTCTATCATTTTGTGTAGATGCAGTTGTACCAAAGTCGTAACAAAGTAATGGGCACCAGTATACGTCCACATGGCTGCAACTATTGCAACAGGCACCACAGCTACAATCTTCACAACCGGTACAATCGCAACAATCTTCACAACCGGCACAATCACAAGTACCGCAATCACAGCCCCCTAAGTCGCACCCGCTACAATCACAATCAGCCATCTTCAGAATATTCGATAGATTTGCTGTTTCAGGTACGCGGGAGTTTCCCAATTACGTCATAGCCGGTGTGATCTAATCTAATCGTTCACGGTCAATTACCGCCCCTAAAGTACTCAACTAAATACTTGTCGCCTGTGGAAATTCTATTTGCTAAACAAAAAACATCTGACGATCAAGCTGTCACCTTTCAACTTTAAAGTAGATCTAACCTCAAATCAACTCGTAAAGAAATAAATTATGGGCAAATCTTCCAAAGATCGTCGTGATATATACTACAGAAAAGCTAAAGAAGAAGGTTGGCGTGCCAGAAGTGCTTTTAAACTCTTACAACTTGATTTAAAGTACAATTTATTGGAAAGTAAACTGTTCGATGGCCTGCTCGAAATTAATATTAATTTGCAGATGTAACAAAAGTCGTGGACTTGTGTGCAGCACCCGGAAGTTGGAGCCAAGTGCTGTCACAAAGATTATGCATCGAGAACAAAAATGCTCGGATAGTAGCAGTTGACCTTCAACCTATGGCCCCTCTTCCGGGAGTTGTTCAAATACAAGGCGATATCACAAAATCATCAACAGTCGAAAATATTCTCATACATTTAGATGAACATAAGGCAGATCTTGTTGTATGTGATGGTGCACCTGATGGTAACTGGCTTGCACATTGATATTTAATTACCACAGTTATTGCAGTGATTGGCCTACATTCGATGGATGTTTACATTCAAGGACAGTTGATAATAAGCGCTTTAAAAATAGCGCGTAATGTTTTAAGGGATGGGGGAAATTTTGTAGCAAAGTTGTATCGTGGGAAAAATAATCATTGTCTAACAAATCAACTAAAAAAGTTGTTTACTTATGTTGAAGTAGCTAAACCGAAGTGTTCACGAAATTCAAGCATCGGTACAAGAGCCTTTGTACCTTCTTTAGTTATTTTGCTGTATTTTAGAGGCCTTTGTTGTTTGCTTGGGCTATATTCCAAACGAATGTAAGATAGAAAATCTGCAATGGTTTGGAGATGAACCAAAGAACACGGTTCGTTTCAGCATTTGTGGTGAGGAGGATGCGTTTGATTCCGATAGCACTTATCCTTTACAGGTACATTTTCATTTTGAAGGGTTCATTTATATTTATGGTCATTTTTAGTTGGAAGGTGAAGAGGAATATAGGTACAGAGAACCTGTTCAAGCACCAATTGCCCCTCCCTACTATTTTGTACCTTCTGGAACTGGTTCACTGACAAGATAATAAGAATTTCTTAATACTTTTGTATATTGTTAAAGTACCATAGTATTATATTCAGAAATCATATGTCTGTTGTAAATTAAACATAAAGCACATAGTATTATTATTTTTAAATAGTTAGTTTTTGTTTAAGTAAGGCTTAAGCGGTAGAGCAGAGCAACTGATGCTTAAAAAAAATGAGCCACAGGCTTTTGAACATGTGAAGTGAGCAGTCTAATCCCAAACATCATATAGGGGGTGGTGGGGCACAATTTCAGATGTAAATACCTTGAATAATGTGTCAGAAGAGGTGCTCACAAGAAGAAAATGGTAGATGTATACGAGATGGCGTCTGAACTTTAAATAACAAAAAGTCAAAAACGGAGTGTTGAAAGTGGGCAGTTGCAAAGGGGGAGGATAGAGATGTCAAGGAGACGCATCAGTATGCATATTATGGTGGGGTTAAAACTGAAATGTTAAGTTGTCAGCCTTTAACACAGCATCCAGAGATCCATGGGTGCCAAAAAGTAAGTTTAAGGCAATAAAACGGTTTATTTAATAAAATGTCTAATCATACAAAACTTTTTATTGTGTCAGTTTTGACAGAAGTCTGATAAAGTGACAGGAGGCAGGAAAAGTGATCGAAAATCCGGCTCGAAGGACTAAAAAAATTAGTGTGCCGTTTTGAACGGAAAATAATAAAAGTGGTAAATTGAGCACGCACTTAACCTATTAGCAGCAGTAGCAGTATGTAAAAGAGATGGCAGTGGCGTGTACAAGAACAGTAGAGGAGCGGCGATAAAATGATCTATATTATTGATCGTGGCGTAGCACGTGCATACAAAATCTTTCATCTCTCTTTCCAAACTCCAACTCCTGTCTTCTCCTTTGTCCGGCAAATTTACATGTCCTCTGCGTTATTAAGTTATTTTAAATTAAATTAAAGCGAAACTTTGTATATTAAAATTAAAGAATGTAGAAAATATTGATAGAAATTTCTTCCGATCATATCTCAACTAAAAATTGACTAACAAAAAAATTTAGCCACAATAACGTACGTAACAGGCGTTTTCTGCCACTGTCATGGAAATAAAGATTTCCCAACATAACGTAGGCATGAAAATGAAGGTTTCATGACGATTTCGGTAAATAGCTACAATTTTTCTTACTGAACACTTTTCGGAAGTTCAAATTATAATGTTTCAAACTATTCAAAAAAGTTATTATTGTTTTATTCATTCGTTATTTATTATCCATAATTTTTTATTTTCGAACGTGCCGGATAGGTGATGCTGATGCAACAACGTCCAGTAACAGCAGATAAAGTTTAACATTTTCTTGAACCGAAACGATGATTAGATATCTAGGAAACCTTGTTGCGCGCAAAGTACTACATTCTTAGTGTTTACCAAGAGTTTAGCGGTTGACAAAATGAAAGAAAACCACTGGACGAATTTTAACTACGGGCTAAGTGCGGTACTACTTTTGTTAATTGTAGCGACGGAAATATCGATACGCATGATGACCTATAACATGTTACAAGAAGAAGTTACATCGAGAATCTTAAATAACATGAACGAGCAACGGGACGTGTCTATGAAAAGGGTCTATTCACATATAAGAAAAGAAGTGGAGACTGCGTATAGCAGTTTAGAACGCTATAAACGTGATAATACAGTAAGTACAGCATAATAGTGTTAAATAAAGATGTTGGAATGAAGATTTAGGACGATAGGGTTGTCGGACTTTGTAACGCGATCAAGAAGCAATGCCAAATCAAAGATAAACATAGAGGCTTTTCTGGTCTTCCAGGATTACCTGGTCCGCCAGGTATGCCAGGTGACAGAGGATACCCAGCCACCATTGGACCCAAAGGTAATTATGTATTACTGACTTATTAGTGCACTAATCCATTAATCCAAATTACAGGCCGTCAAGGAGATCCAGGTCCTAAGGGCGCATATTGTTTATAAACCAAGTGAAGCTCTTTGAATGCCATAATATTCGCTCTAGTACTATAATATATTTCCAATCATTGTGAATTGTTTAAGGAATTACTTTGGAATTTTATTAGAATCATTTTTTCACACTTTAAAATAAAGCCAACGAAATAAACAAGCTTTTTTCTTCAGTAGATACCATACTCTAATCAGGAAATATTGCAATGCGTGAGATGCTTTCAAAACACAATGAGGTAAGTTTCAGTGAATCTACAGGCCGCGCGCCATAGCATGGCGAGTCACTATAACTTGTGTAACAATGCCACAGTCTATACCATACCATTGAATTTATAACTCAATAACCATACCTAGACTGTGACATGTCTATGTCTATGGAAGAAACCTAAAAATCACCTCACAGAGATGTAAACCATACATAAGTATTATAGCAATGCGAGTCTACTGGGACCCTACAAAAAATGTAATCCACACCGAAAGGGAGTAAATATCGTCTCAAATTTTAAGCCGCCTGGTGATGGCGTACTGTCGAAGCAATTTATTCGAAATCCTCATAAAAAACTCACCCTACAAGGTATACCTCCGCCGTATATACCTCAATACACGCGGAACGTTGATTTTACAATTTTCAATGAATTGAACTTTTGTTAAATCTTATACTTACCCAATGAAACACCCCGATTGTATTTTAGAATAACCTGAATTAGCCACGAATAGGGCGTTTCGAGTATTGATCTGCATTCCACGTTACGCTAACTTTAAATGGTGGAAAGTTTGATTGTTAACATTTTTCGTATACAACAAAAAATGTAAAATAAAGGGCAAGCAGTCTCATAGAAGTGCGGCCTTAAAAATAAGAAACAAAAAAACAAAATAGGTCCCACCGAGATTTGAACTCGGATCGCTGGATTCAGAGTCCAGAGTGCTAACCATTACACCATGAGACCTTACATTTTAGGGGTTGTAAATTGCGTGTATCGAAATTAAATACGTGGCTACTATCACAAGCGCACCGAGTCTTAAATTTCAAACTATAAATTATCAATGTCTCTATGGTAATAAAATAAATGATTGATCTTACACGACTGACGTGACACAACTACAAAATCAATCTCGCGTATTAAACGTCAAAATTGTCGACATAATGGACTCCATGAAAATTCCCAAGAAAATTTTTGGCACATACTTTGCTTCCTCCGCCACAATTCACATGCAATCTACTCCCGCTTTTCTGGGTGAATTTGTTTTGTTTGCAGTAGTGTTTTTGCTACTGATCATTCAGCATCTTCAAGTTGGGAAGATTTCCAAAAGGTGTCTGCGATTAAAACCATACATGATTTACAGCAAAATTAAAACAGGTAAAAACCGTCGGAGTGAAATATGCGAATTTCATTTGATGCGCAGGTTCTCGTCGTAAAGAAAAAGAGCCCGCAATTGACAGTAAACCTGGACTCACTTTGGAAAATGGAAACTTGCATTTGGCAAACTTAACACCGGAACAATACGCAAAAATGGAAAAAGAAAGGCAGGCGCGAGAACGCGAATTTGATAACGGAATGCAATCACTATCAACCCTATGCAGAACGGTTGTTAGGGGAGAGTGGTCCGGCGAAACTTTCAAAAGTAATTTTTCGACACTTAAAGAAAACATTGAGTGTAAATCGGCGACGTTAGAAGGGAAGTATTTGGGCCATAAGGCTGCGGATTTGAGCGAAAGTTTAATTAATGTATTGGAAAATTCGATAACGAGCAGTTCCGTAGAGACACCGTTTCCGTTTAAAGGTGATATAGCGACACTTGCTGTTGATGCTGCGGAACTATTAAAAATTAAGTGATTCGTGCAACAATTTCAAAATGGATGAAATCTCCCAGTAATACAAATCCGTAGCAATTAATATTGTACCGATACTAGACGCAAATATATGAAAAAAATGTTTTGCCGAAACCCGGGATTGAACCGGGGACCTTTAGATCTTCAGTCTAACGCTCTCCCAACTGAGCTATTTCGGCTGTGATAAAATATGTTGCTTGTTAAACTACACTTTCAACTACATACTTTGACGGATAAAAAAAGAATATTTCAATAGTATAATCACGAATAACTAAGCTTTCGACGTCAAGAATTCACGAACTGGCTGATATGTTACTTTGTCTACTACAGGTTTTTCATTTAAGTTAATTTAATTTAAACCGGTAGCAATTTACTGCAAATCTCTGAGAGCAACTATGATTATCTCAAAATTCGTACTCGTAGATATAAAAATACAATGTTGATCAGTGATCATTAATAACTGAAGTCAGAAATTCAAAGTTTTTGGCATTCCTACTTCGTATTCATTGCCTCTTTATAAAGATTTACTTTTGTAACAGACAGCGCGCATCCTGACAGCACGCGGAATGCTAGATTTTATATGTTTTTTAAATATTGAATCACGAATTTCTCCATTTTTTTTATATATCAACCATATGCATATCCATATCACGTATAAATAAGTGATTGCTCTTGATAAAGAACTTTAAAAAATATAATAATTGCAAAAGTTGTATCGATTTCCGGTTAATCCGGAAGTGATTTCGGAAGTTGCAATATGCGATTGGATAGACCGCGTAACCACACATAAAATTATATATGATAAATCTCGCCAAATAAAAGATATTGAGGTAACCGTCTTATCTCGAACGCACTGTATAGTGTATATGTCGTAGGTATTTTGTAATATCCGTCATTTTATAAATTGCTTGGTCCTTTCGTGAAACGCTGATGACAATGTGACATTTGGGGTAGTTTCCCTCTCCTATATCGATAAGAGATGCCAGACCATTTATCGCTCTCGAAATTACACTGTGTTACATTAGTAGTTTGCCCGCGTTTTATAAACCCAAGCATTTTATAAAATGTCTACGACATACCTATACATATTTTTCGTTTGCAACGCCATATCCTATTCCTTACGTATGAAATAATCGGTTATAGGAAAGTTATGTTGAGTTAAACGAGGCGGGCGCGTAGAAATTGAACTCGCGTCAAGGGAAATAGAATGTAATTGAATAACAAAATAACTTACCAAATGTGGATGGCCAGCACTACTAATACTGAAATACACACGCACATGTTGTTTTACCCGCATCGTCCGCCCGCTCTGTTTTTAGTACCCTATACGCATGCGCGAACCCCAGTTTCACTTCTTTCTACAAAACTCCTCTTAACAAGTTAAATGATTCCCAGGTTTGTAATTTTGGGGAAAATACGGCTATTATTACAGCCAAATACTGCACATCGGCGTTACGGTATTTTTGTTGACATGTACAATAGCAAACACATAAAACAGTGAATTCTGGCAGGCAGGCCCGTTGGTGACGTCAATAAGGGCAGCGATACGACTTAACGCGAGCAACATTACGAGCATATGGATCTGGCTATCCTATGTTGTATAGTGGTCACACAGACGACTGTTGATGCGACCTAAAATGTCATGTACCTAGGGAGTGCCACCCTTGCGATACGATGCTGTATCAGTATAGCATTCTTAGGTGAAACCGATAGTCGCAAAAAAAACAATTGGATACGCCTTTGAATGCTTATTTACCTCCCATACACAGTTGCCAAATTTCATATTCCAATTCGGTCAAAAACTGTCCGACGCTATAGCTTGCGATGTTTTGCCATCCTTTAAGAAACTACCACGCGGAAGAAGATATATATGACGATCTTCCCGAAATTGAGCGCATATAACGTATAATTTAGAGGCATGATATAGTACCCATTACCTACACCCGTGCGTAATGAAAAAAATAGAATAGATATTGTACGTTTGGAAATGATAATTATTTACAAATGTTAAAACTGTCAATATACCCACAATTGCAGGAAGACTAGAAAACGGGTGAGAAAATTCACTCAAAATTATGTTGCAGCATCGTTAAGTAATTCATGTCTAACTTATTATAAAAACAAATAGGTACACGCTACACTACCAGGCCCTACCTCTTTGGCACTACTAAATTTTTTTTAACTTGATGTAAGATACTTATATCAAATACCTAAAAAAAAGGATTGACGGCAACTGTGTAGTTAGGGTTTAAAAGGTAAGGGAATAAAAAAGAGATTGGGCGGTAGAGACGGACCCAAAGCAAACATTTTTAACGAAAATTCTTATTCGAAGATGTCGTACCCCTTACGGAAGTGGAAATAAAATGTTTTCGGCGAAATGTACAGTGCTATTCATTTAGAAGTAGACATAGGGATTTCTATTTTATAAATCTTTTTGAAAGACGCCTAATTTTATTCAACTGAAATAACATGCGCACGCATTTTGGATTGTCATTCTAGATTTTAATAAAAACGACAATGCTTTTAGGTTATGATGGAGAGACTTAACAACTTCCAAACGCGACTCGACAGCATCTCATTTTTGATCGCCCGTTACTGTATGTCCATAAGCACCATACTGCTCCTGGAGTGTGAACACGCTATAGTTACAGACGTTTACAAGAATTGCTACTATTTATTTCTTTGGACGAACCCTGCTAGCGTTAGTGAAACGCTCGCTACGCCACTGGGTACGCGTAAAGAACAGCACAGTGTATCTTAAAAATTGGATTTCTACTTGACCCGACAGTTTAAAAAAAAAAACTTTTATCAATCTGTCATAATCTTTAGCAATTCTTCTGCTCGCTCCTTCCGAATGGCAAAGCCAATTTGCAATGCCATTTTGGACTATTGACACTATATTTGTCAATGGCATGTACTTCAAAAGTTCTACTGTTGTTCACAAATTTATACATTCTTGGAAAGAGAAACATTTCTGGTAGGGCATTATTCATATACAGATTTTTGAATAACTATAATTGTGTAATCACATTTCTTCATCTCTTACTAAAGCCAAATTAATAAATCTATTAACCGTTTATCATGTTGTTTAAAATTTTGGGGGTTGTGGGTCAACCGCTAAGACAATGGACTTAGTACGAGCACTGTACTATCAAACAATTTCTTTTCAAACCTACTGATCGAAATAAGGTATGACATCAATTTTATGATAAACAGAGAATCATGTATCCTAATGACTAAATAAATATTGGACTGTAATTCTCATTCCAGGATATATGCCACTACGTCCGCCTTTGTAAATGACGCATGATACGAAGAGGCATTAAACGCGTGGCGCTTCGAGGAGCTTTTTTTTGCTTTATCTTCGGCCACTTAATGCCTCTGTATGTTTGCTTCATTTCAAAATCGCCATGGCCAAGGCATAGATGTTATAGGTGAATGAAATACATCGCCTACTCCCTTCACCATCCCATTTTCACATTTGAAGAAGTGCTGGAGGTAAGAAATAGTTCACGGATTTGGAATCTCTTATTTTTTGGTACAGGTCAACAAAAGAAACGATGCACTGAAATTAGATTGTAAAATTCTAAAACCGTGTCCTTAATTCATGACCAACATTCGAAGAAGCAGAAAAATGTTCAAAAAAGCGTGTTCATTTTGCCAAAAGGGATCCTGATATAAACAGCGTCACATTTTTGATACCTCAAGGGACATGCATACATACATTAGCAGACAAACAGTTGTTCGCCAGTGCCAGCAAAATAAGGCACTTCACGAAATTAAAAGCCATATTCCTCTCGACGTTAAAGAGGTTGGACTACTATGATAGCCAATGAGAGAACATAAAAACTTACTTTTTTGTTAAAAACAATCTAAGAATCGTAAACAAAACTTTAAGTGTAATATGTAATTTCCAACATTGCAAGTTAAATTTCAATAAATCCAATTCACAGTAACACTGAGATAACAAATACATTTCTTTTAAATTGAAGTCTTATTGATCACAAAGGAACCAAGTATATTTAGACTATAATGTTTTCTTTCTTAAAAAATGTAACGTGGAAGTGATAATATCGTTAGGAAATGATTCCGAAAAAACCAATGACAAAATAAACAGGAATTCAAAATGGCGGAGAAATACTTTGTATATTGATTATGAAGCATCATGTAGAAAATTAGCCAAGCTTCAAACCGTGGTTGGCAACTGAAAATACGAAGTACCAACTTTACATTTGAAATCGAGCGGGAGTTATTACAATTATTGATTCCCGGATATTAACCTCATATTCTAATTCTATAGGAATATCAGGTAGTACTAGACTTCTTTTTTTATTAACACATACACGTTACATACTCTAGAAAATAAGAAAGCAAACATTCTAGTGATAGTCTTTACATTCCAAAAATGCATAAAACCGTTACTGATTACACCAGTAGAAACTTTTTGTACATTTTACAATTGTACAAACTCTAAATAGCTCCATTAACGATTTGTACAATAAAAACAAAAACAATTTTTTCCGCGCAATTCAGAATTTGTACTTTAATAATTCTAATAACAGTCAATACCAACCTTAACTCTACAATTATAATTAAATTTCAAGGTGAAAACAATAAGAAAGTAGTTAATTTGTAACTACAACTGTGGAAAAATATGATTCCAATCGAAAGTACTCCTTTTCAAAATGTGTTTGGAATGGTAAAAGATTTATTGAGCCTTTTTAATAAAATGCTAGTTTACCTTCGAACGCGCTCCGTCCTAATATGCAGCTGCCTCCAATGCTACAGCAGCTATCAGTAAACACAATATTGCATTTACAACTTACATTAAAAAAGGAAAGTCTAAATCCCACATTTATTCACATTGAAGTAAAGCCACCTCTAACATTTCGGAAATCGCCCCTACCTCTAAAATCTCCTCTGCCTCTGTTGCCATCATTACCTCTACCTCTATAACCATCATGGCCCCTGCCTCGGTTACCATCATGACCTCTGCCTCGGTTACCATCGTGACCTCTACCTCGACTACCATCAAAACCTCCTCGATTGGTATCATAGCCTCCGTGATTGCCGTCGTAGCCGCGCCCCCTTCCTCTTCCTCTCATACTTTCATTACCTCTTCCTCGCCCACGAAAACCACGCCCTCTCTGGCCAAACCCTCTATAATTTGGATTGCCACGACCCCCTCTAAGTAGCTTATTCCCTCTAACACCGCGAACAGCTCCATTATTAAAGTTACCTCTCATATTACCTCTTCGCAAATTAGGAAACTCCATTCGATTTCCCATAGCTTCTTCAGTTTCAAAATCCATTTTGATATTGAAACCTTGCTCATTCCAGTCCTGTGACCGGTTCACCATATTATTATCCAACGGAGGTACCCTGTCAAATAGGGGTGGAATCATATTAAACACCCCAGACGCAATTTTCGACTCGAAATCCTGCCTATACTGCATATTGTGCTCATTGTCTTCCAAATGTAAATCATCCGAGACCAGATCTTCCAAATCGAGATTTTCATTAACATTGTCCAAGAAATTATTCGCGTCAACATCATCGAATAAATCCGAGGGCGGCTCGAAGCCGTCTTCGAAGTTGGACGACTCATCGAGTTCGTTATCGTCACTCAAGTCCATGTCGATACTTTCCACATTATCCTGACCTTTTCTAGGCGATAGCCCAGGTTTTTTTCCAGGAAAAAATCGCGCCTGTTTCACCTGAGATTCCATTGGATTGTACATGCTCGGCGGCGGCTTGGTAAAATTCGAATTGGACAATATATTTAAAGAAAAGGGATTTGTTGCTGTATTAAATGTGTTTTGGTTTTGTAGAAAGTTGTTGTTCAATTGAGAAATTGCCTGCTCGCCCGTTAACGCTTGCGGTGGTGGTGGTGGAGGAGGTGGTAATTTCAAATTCTCAATAAAAGGCACTCTGTAATCTCGATCCGCTCCAGTTCCAGGCGTTGCTGGCGTGGTAGTGACACGTAAATCCTTGAATGTAAAAAGAAACATTATTTCAAGTTTATACTGCGAGTCATGTCGAATGCAAACACATTTTCCTAAAACGATAAAGAATAAAATTTTAGTTAACACGCATCTACAGTTTATGCTTCTCATAGAAGGCAGAAAGAAAGAATACTTGAAGGTTATGGTCTTTGAGATGTCCATTTGAATTTAGATATTACTTATTGATAAAAGACATCCGTGTTTGAATAAGAATAATGATGGCATATTGAAGTCAAACACAAAATAATTAATTTTAATACCTTTCCCCCACCCCGAGACGACAATATTTTTGATTCACAATGTTTTCAAGATCTTTCAAATAAGGGGTCACCCAACTACCATCAAAATGTACCCCCTCATCCCCAAAGTAAAATTAGTGTGTTAAATTATTGCCTAATAGCATTTTAACACACAGAATTTAAAATGTGTCCAGTGTGACTATGCAACAAACGATAAATCTAAATCATAACACATTTATTTATATACAATCTCACCAAGGATTTAAAGTGTGCTAGTGCGCTTTCGTCAGCAAACATATACATCGATTGTTAAATCACATCTTAACATTTGTCAAGACATTGATCCTGCCCGGATTTAAAATGTGGCCAGTGTGATTTTTTCACCCAACATTTGTATTTTGTTAATACACAAGACTAGTAATAATTTCAAATGCGCCTAGTATGAACCACCGTACACCGTAAACCCCTTGATGTTCTATGCCTAACAAGTCATCTGCAAGTACCGGGAATGTCAACTGAAAAAACCGCGCATCATGTTTAGGGCAAATATTGTTAGTCATCTTTTAGTCTTAGAACGATCTCTACATTGCTTGGATCTCTTGTTGTGAACATTTACAGTACAATCGTTAAAACTTTTAGACGTGTCTGTTTCTTTGGAGAAAAAAGGTCTCACCATAACCCAATTTTTCTACATACCTATATGGTTTACCCCATATATTTTGAAAAAATGCATCTATGTCATTTTCACTTGGAAAATTATAGGAGTTTGTTGTAGTTACATTACGAATTAATTTGTTCACCTTGAAGCATCAAATTCAAAATGATGGTCTCTGGGTTCCCATACTTTATACATTTTATAGTTCAAAATTTGATAACTGAAAAACCGTCATCATTATTGAGATATACATGGTGGTTTAAAAAAAGTGTAGGAAGTGAAGTTGAAGGTAATTATGATTTAAGATCAAAATTTTGAACCTTTTTGCTAGGTGTTTAAAAATTCCCAAGGAAAAAAATGAATAAACCATCCTACATTCTGGAATAACCAACATGCTTACAGGACATGTCAAACTTGTGAGTTGAATGTATATATAAATTACCTTATCGGTTTTAGGTGTCCACGAAGGTCGTACATCACTAGGTGAACCAGTTAAACTGATCAAGTTACGATGATCGACATCTTTACTGTGATGCTTGACCTTCGAATCTAAACACATGAAATAAATTTATAGATATTACATACGTGCGAAATGGTCAAAATACCATTCGGAACCATAGACTCGGTGACCGCCGACGAGGAGAGCACCCGGTGATCAACGTCGGCCCTGCCAAAGGCATGCTCTTCGTGATACTCCACCGGATCTCCGAATCCTGTCTTTTCTGACATTGGTGGACTTTCGGGGGTGTCTTGTAGAATGGGCGGCGGCTGATCCCATGTGGGTTCCAAATCCCACGTCTCCACCTCCTCGGCAGGATTATAATCGTCCATCAGAACGGGAACATTCGACTCCAATGGTAATCGATTGGAAGCGTAAGGAGGAACTGTATTGTCGTAATTGGTATATTCGGCGCTGTAAGGTGCTGATGGTAAAGGGGGAAGAGGGGCGGTTAAAGGTGTTGGTGGATATGTACTGGCAGTATTTGTTGGGTCATAACTGATGTCCGCTATTTTAAAATGTTTGCAAATTAACGTCCCAGTTTCACAGACAAAGATACTTACTGAAGGTGGAATTCGTGTATGTATCCGAATAGGTTGTCACTCCGAATTGGTCCTCAGATTTACTAAAAGGAGGCATGGGCGGAGGCAATAATGGAGCATGTGCCGGATTATAGTAGCTGGGAGTAGTAGCTTCGGATCCAGTTGAGGGAGGAGGAGGAGGACAGGCGATCGAAGGGAATAGACTAGATATAGCGTTGTTAATGCTGTAACTTGTTGCTGTTTCCGCTTGCGTCGTTGTGGCAGCGAATGAGTTATTTCCCAATAAAGTCGAATTGGAGTTCTAAAAGCAAAAATTGTTTTCTGTCTTGTTTAATATTTCAAATGGCACATTATTCAGTGGCGAAACGGCTTAGGAAGCTACAGACGCAGTGTGTCCCTTAGATTCTGCCCAAAAATCATACATGAGAATTCAGTAAAGTGAATTAATTATGTAGTTTCTGCCACATTCACGTACTTTGCAAACAATACCATCACCCAAGAATTAGGTTCTTTAAAATTCTATCAATACTGTCACAAAAATACCAATACCTTTTTTGGGGGCAGTTGTACCATTATAGTTCAACTTTAGTTTCTGTTGAATTGATTTTCTTTTAAATTGACCACTCAATTTTTTTCATTCCGTCAATGAAATTAAGTGAGTATCCGGGTAGAACCAGAACTAAGCGTTTTAGCAACACAAGTGTATTCGTGAAACAAACAACTTTGAATTTTTGGTGTACACCCCTCTGAATCAATTTGAATTAACGTGAATTAATTTGGTTATACCCCAAAAATGACATTTGGTTCCCCCTAGATATTGACTGCTTAAAGTTCAATGGGCAAAAATGATGGTTTTTTAAAAAGTACTTCATAATTGTATTTGGGCGATTCTGCAATAAAAATAAATTAACGATAGTTTGCCTAAAGAACTATGGTCCAAAAACGTTCCATTATGAAAACAGTGTTAAATTTAAGAAAAAAAATTGCGAATATTCTGAAACTGCTCGAGTTATTTGGACGATATTTACTACTTGAGGATGGTTAAAAATCAATTTTAAATTGAAAAACGTCCTATGAAAAAGTTAAAAAAAGTTGTAAAATTTATAGACGGCACAAGGTTAGCATTGTTGTAGTAAAATATGTCGTAGGAATCACCCATTTAAATATTTGAATATAATTAATGAACACCCTGTATACTTCAGTTAAATTTTTTTTTTCCAATCCTACAAATAACCTAAAATCTAACACTGAACCTGCATATATCCTAATGTCCAATGCTGCTGGGTCTCACATTCCGTTTAACTTCCTTGACGATTTCTGTGCAAATGCGTTTTTTTAATCACAAAGAGGGACAAATTTGCCCCATTTAACCTACCCTGTATCTCTCACCGTTACGGAGGTTCCAATGGTGAGCCACAAATGTGCACCACCCTGTACAAATTTATAAAGAAAGGTTCTTTTTTCAACAGATCACATTTTCTTTTGTGTATGTTTGCCTTTTTTATCAATGTTGAAAAAATATATATGAAAAAGTGTACCCTTTCCTATAATGAAAATATAATTTTTCAACATATCTTAATAAAACATATACAGGGTATTACAGCAATCTGTATCTTGAAAAGGATACCTCGAAATATTTGGACAATATACTAATGTCAATAAGAGAAATTCATCTAAAACATTTTCAGGTTGTTGCCACTTCCAATAATTGTTGATGCCAACTGGCTTATTTTAATTGGTACACTCTGTATACTTCATGAATTATACTTAGATTCTGTGTAAAACGTTTTGAACCCCCTGTATATATTTACAATAAAAATATCTACACAGTCCACTAAAGGGAACCCCTTCTAAATCAGCCCTAATTAAATAATAACAGCTCTCATATAGAAATAATTGGCCATTATGACTTAACTCATTTTTGACATAATTAAAATATGTCAAATACGGTTATATTGAGCTATAGGACATTATACATCAAATGCATATAAAATTTTAAATAGAATCTAACAATAAAATAATATATAGGGTGCGCCATCTAAAATAATCAAGTTGACATCAACTTCCTGTATAACTCGAAGTGCACTAACTTGAAAATATTTTAGCTGAATTTCGACACTTGCACACTGTCAAATTTGCAAAATAATCAAGATATAGCAGATATTCAGAGTGGGACACCCTGTATTTATGCCAAGAAAAGGTTGGGCATTCTTTACAAAGGTTAAGAATTGTTATTGAGTAAATTAATAACAATTTAAAAATTTGCGGATTAAAATTGTAATTATGATCATATTATTTGACGCCCTGCAAGACGCTCTGGTAGCCTATTTTTGCAGATTAAATTTTTCTTGTCCATTTAGAAATGGATCAGAGTTTGCACCTCCCAATAATACAACTTCCTCCCACCCACCTAACAAAAAAAAAGTTCAAAATCAGGACTGTGCTTCCTTTGCTTAACAAGTCACATCTCGCCACTGACATGACCACAACTCACCATCAAACTAAATGGCATATTTGTTCCCATAAAACTGGAAAAATTATTTGGTTTAAACGTCGGTTCTACAGAGGGTGGTGGAACTGGGTTGTAATATCCAGGATTTGTAAAAATGACATCCGCTAAAACACAACACTTGAAGTTACCCAAAACCAAACAACACAAACATACAAGCAATTATCGTTGGAGAAGAAGTCGTAATCACAGATGATGCAGTTGTCTCGACAACTGTTGTTGCTGGCAGGTCAATTTCTGAATCGGAACTGGGGGATGGCGCATTCACATCTGGAGATGGCACAGGACTCGCCAACGTCGGTATTTTCTCCTCCAGTTTCTTTTTTAATGTCTTTACCCTCGCGGCAAACGTTCTGTACGCCTATGAACCCGCATTAATTACAAATACAAAAAAGCTTTCAAATTCTTTACCGTTGTGACGAATTTTACATCCTTTTTATCTTTGTCTAACTGACTTTCTGCTTGCGTTAACAAAGATATTAAGTGTATCCTAGCTTTGATTTCCAATTTTAGGGCATTTATGTAATTTTCCATATGCTTGTTGTACTCGTCCAACTCCTTTTCTACATCATCAACATTAGCTCGATCTAAAAATTAACGTACAAATGTAGGCTCACAAAAAGCAATCTTGAATTTACCTTTAAGTGACGATATCAGTAAATCACTATCGATCTGAATTTTTGGATTGTGCTCCTTGAGTTGGTTCAACTTAACATCAGTGTCATTTTCAAGCTTAGAGCAGGCCCAAACCTTCTGTATTAAATACGAGGGATTAAACTGATGTGGTTCGTCGCCCTTTCGTCCAGAAGGCGTAGCGCTTATCAAACCGCACAAATCCGTAATAAACTCCTCTCCGTAGATGCCGCGTTCCTCCCATATTTTAAAGATCCTAAGCACTTTGTTTTTAATCTTTTCATCCCTAAAAACGTAACAATGAAGTACTTGAGGTGCAGTCGAAAGAGGATACCTTACCGAACCATGGTGGTCGCTTTCTGCAATGTCGTGCCCCAACTCTGCACAAAGTCATAATTACGTCTCTTAGAGTACTGTATCACATCATTTGCTAAATAAAATAACGTAAGTCTATGCTCAATTTTCACACGTTTTAACACGTTAAGCCACGCACTCACGATCTTCTTGTGGTGGTGACGATTTTGTAGACACCACTGGCAACAACTGTTTATACTGTCCTGCGAATCTTTTAAAGCTGACAACTTTTTCTCAAATGCGATCGTATTAAACTCGATGTCGGAGTTGACATCTGCCAATGCAGACTTGGATTCCATTATATTTTTTAACAGCGCGTCACATTGAACATTTTTGTTTGTAGACTACATGGTAAATCGCACACTTCCAGCAGGGGGTAAAATTATTATCCAGGTATTCATTCACCTCATTTCCTAAAGGACGCTGTCAACAAAATACATTAATTTGATTCTAATCAAACTATGTAGGCGATTTTTCACAAGAAATAAACTTCTACAGCATAGAGAACATATACTGGATCAAATTCTGATACTTTATGTACAATATAATTGTTTAATTTCTCAAGAAAGTAAATAATCCGCTCAAAATACATAAACGTCCATTTTGCAACTTGGTGTTCTGTGAGCTCTGTCGATAATGCAGAAATCTCCAAAACAATTATCCATAATAGGACTATAATCACAAAAATCGTGAACCGGATATATGCTTACCAATTCACTTTATTAACATTTATTATACGCACTCTGTATAATCAATGCCTACCATTACCATTAGCGGCAAAAATTGGAACTATTTAAAAATTTAATGTACATATTATGTCGTGTACAATGGGAAACGGATTCTTAATTGAGCAACTCGCAAAATTACAGAATGCCGATGTTGCACTTTCACTTTTCAATTGAATATTAATTGTTTGTTACCTGGATATCTGATCTTACAATCTCAAGGGCATTTGCCTTCAAGGATCTTCGCTTTGGGAACCATTGCTGCACACCTATATTTTTTGAAATTGTTTAGGAAAAGTGGTAATAGTTATGTTCGAGAGCGTTACAGGATAGTACAACAAGATTCTAGTGCTGTTGGTTCATAAGAAAAAGGATTATTATGAAAAGGCTGCAAGAGATTTAGATAATGTAAGACTGTAAGAGACTTTTGACGTTTGGTATGACCAAAGAGATATACTCTTTGGTAGGACTCAAGTGAAAGAATGCGTCGATAGGGGGATGGGTATTGTTGGATTGTATTGAAGAGTAGTTTTGGGTGCATTTAAACCCAGCGGTTATCTGTGATCATCCCTTGTATACTGAGCCTATGAAAGTTTGAACCAAAGTTTTGATTTCTCCGAATTGGAAGATGCTCTTGATTCTTTAAAGCCAAATAAGGCTCCGAGTACGGATAGAAGCCCAGGGGAATTTTACAAAAACTGCCCTGAAAATTTGAAACTAAGACTATAACAGGTTTTCAATGTTTTGTATGAGAAAGCTGTGGTGCCGGAGGACTTCGAGAGGGCCATTATCTTTCCACTCTATAAAAATAAGGGGTCTATGGATGACGTTAAAAATGATAGGGGAATTAGCTTTCTTGACACTCTCACAAAAATTTTTACTGCGCTGCTGCGCAATAGGTTACGGGATTGGGAAGTGGAGGAGAGAGCCGGTTACAGAAATCTTTATTCCACGATTGAAAATATTTCTAATTTGATAGCGGTAGTGAAAATATTACTGGCATCAAGGGGTGTTCGTAGTTTGATTGTAACATGGGGTTAGGCAGGGGTGCCTTCATGAGTCCCTTAGGCAGGGCGCTCACCGAGATGACGTCACATGGGACATGACGCCTCAACGTGACAAGTGAAACCATTGTAAATATTACTCTTGCCAGTAAGATTGCCCACCAGAGCACACCTTATGTCGCGATCTACAATCTATGTTTTTCTTAAGATGCGAGCGACTTCCGGATAGGATCGGGCCAATGTTGAGTGGGTGCTCTGCCTTTCTCTTTGTCTTTTTTTTTTAATGAATTACAGGATTTCATTGGTGGAGGGATAAACATCAACGGGATGGTTTAAGGTTATTAAGCGATGCAAGGTTTATAGGGGAGTCGATAGTGTCTGTCTGTCCGTCCGTCCGTGAACACGATAACTGTTAAACGCTTGAACCGACTTGGTTCAAACTTTGCACAGTTGACCCATATGCCACATGTAGTACCTAAGCCTATTGAAAATGGGTCAAATACAATGACCCCGTAGAGTCACACCGAGATACGTGCTCTGGCGCATTTTTAGATGCTCTTTAGGGGATTATTAATGTATGCAGATGATTTGACGATAATTGCAGGCAATCATAGAGTATTAAGACAAATGATAAGCAAATTGTAAGATGTGGAATTTGAAAGTAAATCTCAAAAAATCAAAAATTACGATATTTAGAAGGCGTGGGGGAGAGTAAACGAGCAGTTTGATTACAATGCGAAGGCAATAGAAATTGTTTATAAATATTTAGGTGTTACTTTCACTCCGAAGCTGCCAATGACTACTCACATAGAGGAGAGCCAGAAGCTAGCTATAAGGTATCAATAAATCGGGCATGGGTAAAAGTAGTAAGTAAAGGAGATTTGCCGCTGTCATCCAGATGGGGATTTTTAACGAGATTGTTAGAGTATGGGGGTTGCAGGAACACCAGGGAGTGGAAGGAGTCAGGAGATTTTTTATGAAGAGAATGATGGCCGTCCCGAAGTACTGCCTGAACTACATACTTGACTTGGAAACGGATACTGAGCGCATATTTATATATTCCCTGAAGCTACACAAAAATTGTGTATCTATGTATACTGGGGTACGAGGATAGCAAATGGCCAAAGGTTTCTGCTGAGAGAGATAATGTGGGCTAGGTGTGGATGGATCAAGGGCTTTGGGTGAGCGGTGTGGTGTGGAAGTAAGGGCCAAGGTTGAGGTAGGTGGGGATGCTGAACCAAATTATTGATAAATTGCGAATGGGAATTAGGAGGAGGCTGAAAAAAGAGTAAGGGCGTTGTCCTAATTCTGTAATCACTATGATGAACTCGTTGTGTGCGGGGGGGGGGGGGGAATATAGGGTGTATCACAAATGAGAATACTTTTACGGATATTAGGTGGATGTTTAAGTTAATGTGCGGAGCGCTATATTTGAATGACTAGGAAGAGAGGATGATGAGGAAATAGTTTGGCGAACGAGAAACTATAAAAAAATAAGTGCTAGAAAAAATGAGGGGTGAGGGAGTAAGGGTTTCAGGTACAGTCTCCTTGCACACTTTAATTATTAGAAGCATATTCTATTTATTATTCGTTAGGCCAATCTTCCCTGATGGCATTAGTCAACGAGTAAGTGCTAGTTGGAGTATACTTATTAACTGGGTTTTAGCACATACAACGGTTTTAGTAATAATAAATGCATTTCTGATTCTTATTTACTATTTAATTTACAAACCTATATCTAGAAGTTAGTTATGTATTAGTGAAAATAAAAGTATGTGGAAAAAATAGATGTAAGTGTTTTGTTTGTCATTTTTTTTGTATGTCACGCTCACGCATTTTGTTATTTCTATTTATTTGAATTTTGAATTTGAATTTGAATATCGGATTTGCTTCTTCGCTGTTTTCCACACTAAATCTAACAATTTTTTCCTCATCGCTTCTGGCCCAATAATGAAGCAGATTCACTTTTTTTAAACAAGAGGTAACATCGTGGTTTCGAATGCGTTTTTTTATTATAAAGTTTCTGATCTTTCTTCAACATCATTTCTTCTGCCATCATCAGAAGTATAAAGTTTGTGCAAAAGCCATGTACCTATCACTAATCACTAATATTCTTCATTTTTCAGCAGAACTGTTTTACTCCTAAAAGCTACTGTTAAGAAGAGAAACTCCAAATATTATATTCTCCTAGGGGCGATCTTTTAGGTCCCCCTCAGCTTGAAAAATTGTTTATACATCGTTTCTATACTAAATTTGTAATTCTTAATTCGTATAAGTATGTATACGTTGATTAATGACCTCAAAAGCAAAGTTTCTCTTAACAATATAAGAAAATGGACATCATTATATGCAAGCAAATGTGGCTTTATACGTTTCAAAACGTCATAATGTGCACAATAATAGCTATTACGACTTAGAAGTGTAAAGTTTTATTTGAGAGGTTAGATTCTGCTATTATGTTCTAACAAAAGGACTCTTGCGAGAGTTCAAAGTACAAAATAAGCACAAAAGCTGTAAGGGTCAATAATAGTTAGTATAAGGGAAATGAATAAGTTGAATAGTCCGTTAGAGATTCAGCTTAACGCGGAAATCGAGTTCCACCTATAGTGGTCATGTTATTATTCAGGATCCGTGTTGTAATCTCACTAATCCCGTTCCTGTAACACTATTGAATAGTAATCATTTTAACATAATGGGCACTAAGTACAAAAGAAACCGCTTAGCTCGCGGGTTTAGCGAATGAAAAAGTATCTGCGTTTTTTATTTCCATTGCGCAAAACTCTTCATCAAGTGGTACTTAGTATAATTTTGTGCTCGTTAATAAATCATAACGTTTGGTAGTAAACAAACGGAATATTTCAAATAAGGTATATATTAGTTGGTGCAGCACATAAATTTAATGGAAAAGTTTCGACTTCTGAGCTGCAAGTTGTAAAATAACTTTTGCTGTTCTTTTTTACTCTAGCTTCAATTTGCATAACGTGCGTTTAAGCTGACAAGGAGAAAGTTTTTTCGAGATAAAGCATAACTTTGCACTCTAAATATTAGATGATCTTAGAAGGAGTTTTTCTTTGTGAAACCAATTTAGACATGAAACGATTTCGTTGTTTTGAAGATGGAATAGTTTTCATTGCAAACTTCTACTGTTCCAAACAAGTAAAATATCACGATCCCAAATTAATTTACATGCATAATGATTATGTGTATTACTTACGAACCACCCCCTTCAAAGATAAATGGCGTATAAACGAAGCACATTTCTTACAGGTTGGACCTTTAATGTGCTTGTATGTGCGTCTAGAGACTACAGTAAAATAATGGAGTTTTCAAGAGTCACTTGAATTGTTAAGAACTTCATTTAGATAAGTCAAAACCCAAAAGGTTAATTTTCAAACATTTCTTCCCACACCATCCCCAATGAAATTTGGTATTATTGCACATGCTGGTATATTGAGGGTGTGGCACTAACGTAATTTACTTACCATCCATTAAATATTTTCTTCCATATTTATCTCAGAGTATAACAATTCTGTATTTAAGTGCATCACAACTGTAACGAAATAACGTAATTGCGGGAGTAGGATAATATCGAGGGAAGGCAAACATAATGGAACTATAATTAAGAGAATTTTGGATGCCCCCAAGGTGGGGTGTTATCACCACTTCTGTGGAACTTGACTGTAAACAGGCTCCTCTGTCGCCTTAATGACAGTGGGTACTATACGCTGGGGTATGCGGATGATATATCCATACTTATAACCGGCAAATTTGAGGCTACTTTATGCAGACTGATGCAATCAGCTCTTACAGTAACCGAAGAATGGTGTAGGGAACACTCCTTGTCCATCAACCCGACAAAAACGGAGCTAGTTCTCTTCACAAGAAAAAGAAAGGTAGAGGGTATTCGAGCTCCCCTGCTATTCCAAAAACACCTCCAATTTTCAGAGTCAGTGAAATATCTAGGAATCACACTCGACAAAAAACTGAATTGGAGCAAACATATCCAGCTTAAAGCCGAAAAAGCAAATAGGGCTTTCTGGCAAAGTCGCCGCGCTATTGGCAACTTTGGGGACCATCCCCGAAGGCTGTCCTGTGGCTGTACACTGCCGTGATTAGACCTATGTTCTGTTATGGAGCAATTGTCTGGTGGCCTAGAACCAAACTCTCCACAACTGTAGCACTCCTTAATCATGTGCAAAGACTAGCGTGCCTTGCCTGCACAGGCGCGATGCGAACGACCCCCACAGCCGTCATGGAGGCCCTCTTGGATCTGCCTCCACTAGATCTCCACGTGAGAGAGCAGGCCATTCTGGCATTCCTGCGTCTGAAAAATAAGGGGTTGTTGAATAGCAGAGGCATTGAGGGGGGCCACTCCCGAATTCTGGGCGAGGCGATCAAGCGTCTGCCTATCCTAGAGGGGAGATCGGACTCACTCACTCCTCAATTCATATTAGGGAAAAACTATCACATCTTCTTTGATGAGAATATGGCATCCCAACCAGATATATTCATCTTCACGGATGGATCTAAGACAATGGAAGGTACAGGCACTGGTATTTACTCCAAAGAACTGAACTTCCATATCACCCAACCACTAGGTAAACTTCCTACTGTATTCCAGTCAGAGTTGGTAGGATTAACGCTTAGTGCAAGAACAGTTCTTATGCATAACATAAAGAACAAAACTATCAGAATCTCAAGTGACAGCAGGGCTGCCTTGCAGTCACTTGGTCACTGTAAAATTACCTCTAGGATGGTTTCCGAATGTCACCACGTACTAGAGCAAGTAGCAAGCAGCAACACCCTTGAGCTCGTATGGGTCAAAGGGCATGCTGGAACGGAAGGTAATGAGAAAGCCGATAAATTAGCCCGACTGGCCTCAAAACAGGCGTTTTATGGTCCAGAGCCGGCTCTTCCACTTACAGTTAAAACTGTAAACAACCTAATAACTCAAGACACCCAAACCCAGCACAGGGCTAGGTGGAACTTGATGTTAGATTGTCGCCATGCGAGAGAAGCCTTCAGAGGACCATCTCGTAGCTTGGCGCGTTTTTGTACAGGGCTATCAAGGAAGAACCTGAGGTTACTCGTGGGCATACTTTCTGGGCACTGTAAACTAAACAAGCACATGCACTGCATGGGTTTGGTGGAATCACCATCTTGTAGAGGATGTTACACAGACGACGAGACGGCATACCACATACTCTGTGAATGTCCCGCTCTAGTCCAACTGAGACGATCCATGTTGGGGGAATCCTGGCCGGACATGGCTACGATTAGAGCCGCCTCCCCTTCCAGCGTCCTAAGGTTCATCTCACGTGTGGGATGGCTTGAGTGATGCTGAGGGGTCGGGCGACCCTAGTCAGGGAGGTAGTACAAAGGGCCCCAATTTGAGGCCTAAGTACGCGTGGACACTGTTCACCCTCCTATCGTAATCCAGAATCCAGAATTTTCCCCTATGCTGATGCATATGGATTGCTCCGAACAAAAGACGTCACCATGGTAATGCATCTGCAGTAAAAAGAAATAAATAGTAACGACTGGCAAATCGCACAACTTGAATCCAATGCTTATTTTATTTCACGAAGCACATATTAGATGACTAATACCAAAGAGTACTACTGTGGGCACTCTCTGCTAATACTGATACAAATCTACAATTCTTACTACATCAGGTACTTCGCAGTATATCCAAAACACGCCTTCCTCTTCATTAAACACTCTCAGATAAAGATCCTTTCGAGTCATTCATCTCGATATTACTCGAATAACTTTGCATCTTTGCAATCAATTCCTCAATGCTAAATATCCCACGCGCATCACTTTGGGAGTCTTTTTCATTGTTTATACTTCGCAGGGATAGCTTGCTTGCATTGAATTCTTCCTCCGTTAGATTCTCCAACGAATTGAACTCTCTTATAGTACTCAGTTTCCTTAAAACGACGGGAGTGGTCAAGGTTTCAATGTTGTTATCGTGAACTGGTTCGTCGAAGTAGCTGGCGAAACCGGACGAGCTTCGAGAGGAGTCGCAGGTACGTGATAACGTGGGCGATCTGAGCGAGGAAACGGCCAAACTGATTTCCTCCGATACCTCGCAAAGGCGCTTTGCGCTACAGAGCGGAGTTAAAATCTCCTCCGTTGCTTGAAAGTTTGTTGAGTCGATGTAGTACCCGTGCCTTTCATAATCGTACTTAATGCAAGGTATGAAACGGTGGCCCCAAAGAATTTCCTTGGACACATAGGAGGCTCGGGTCATCGACGATTGGGCTGTTGTTAGCGAGCTTCCGTGGACAGTTACTAAAAGCTCGAACCTGGCGAAGGAGAGTGAGATAAAATTGAATAAAGCATTACCTTACCTTTTCGTTATTACGTCTTTAGCTGACAAATCCCAAAAAGGGCTTGTCGGTGTGATTTTGTGCACAATTTCAAGCGGCCACAACAGAATACCTGGAGGTTCCAGTTTGAGTGACTTGAGGTAGGGCGCTTCGTTCCGACGATGAACCAAGTATAAATTGACCTTCGTATTAACTCTGTGCAGATTCTTCTTGTCGCGCAATCGGAAAATTAAACATAACTCGCCATCTCTTTGGCACACCTATAATGTAATCAATATGAACAGTTCTCCTGCATTAATTTACTTACGACGCAAACTTTACTGAAAAGTGCCGTGGTTGGGACATTATGCGGCCTCACCATTTTTGTGTATACGATGCTGGTCATCACCCCGCAGAGCGAGATTCCGAAGATCATTTGCAAGGAGATTAGGAACGTGCCCTCGTTGCAATTCGAGGTAATGTATCTGGATCCATATCCAATGGTGTGCTGGGTTTCCAGGCTGAACAAGAAATACCCAGCGAATCCTTGTATGCCCATCAGGCATGGTGCCTTAGAAGGATTGTCTTTGGATATATCATTGTTATCTTGTGCGATTAGCATGTAGCATGCTGCGAATATGAGCCATGTCAGTATGTACGAGGATGCAAAACATATTAGGGTCCACGTCCATCTACAGTTTACCAAAGTGTTCCCAATATCGCGGATATAAGCGGCCCATAGGTTTGGTATCTTTCGAAATATATTTGGTTTTCCAGTTTTTCGTATGACCCTTTGCAGTGATTTTTTCCTCTCTCGATTAACGCTCCTGCAACAAATATAACAAATTTTAAATTAGACTACATTATTTTTGTTGCGTGCTGATATTGACTTCCCCAAAGATAGTCGGAAATTCTAATTCTGCCTATATTAATACGTTAGTATTAGTTAGGTTATATATTATTAACAAATAGAACAAACAACAGGGGACCAAGATTGGATCCTTGTGGGACTCCTGAGCAAGCTTTATAAGGATTGGACTTGTAACCACTGTAAGTTACGTATAGTGTTCTGTCGGTTAAGTAGGATCTAATGAGTTCTATGAAGTGTGCAGGAAAATCGAAGAGTGACAATGTATGCAATAGCATTGTTTAAATAATTTTTTTAAAGTATTTAAACAATGACAATAGTATATTATGGTTTACGTGATCAAAGGCCTTACTAAAATGCAAACGGTATCAACTTGACCTTGATTAGGTCTCGTTCAATTGACACACGCTCATGTGTCAAATTTTGAACTCGAGTTGAAAAACTCCACTTTCTTCTGTAGTTTACTGTTTAATCTTAGCTCTGGCTTTCATTTAAATTACGATATGGAATCCCGCTCAAATAACATTATGCCAATTCTTGTCTTCATATAGAATGGGTCAAACTTTGAACTGAATTCGAGTTAAAAACTTCACTTTCTTCTCTAGTTGTAGGTACAAATAACTATTGTACGTACAACTAGAGCGTAGCTATGATCATGTGTCAATTGAACGAGAGTTGAAAAACACTCTGTTCACAAGTTTTACACATATTTTTTTCTGAAACTACAATCAAAATTGAAAAATTATCGTATGCAATAATGAAATGAAGCAATCTAGATACGGGGTATGTTTCAAGTTTAAATGTCATTACTGAGATTAACGCAGCAATTGTTTTTTACTTTCCTCACTAGAGAGGAAAATCACATTTTCTTCACCCTTTTTAAAGACGAAAGTAGTTGTTTCTAAAGTAGTTTCAGAGAAAAAAATACTATTCAGTAAAATCTGCACGATTAAGGGATGTTCAACAGTAACAACAGTTGCAGCCTGACCTTGTGCCTATTGGTTATGGTGTAGGAGCCTTTATTATAACCAATAAAAGCGATTGTTATTATTAATATTACATTTCCCTTGTTATGAATCTTGCTACAGATATCCCCTTACTGGGAGATTTGAGATTTGCTTTAATATTCGCAATGCAAGATACAAAGTACACAAAATAACTAAAATGTAGAATATACTCGAGAATATACCTAATTATAATGATTACCAGTCGCTGTGACAATTGCCACTTAATCATAAGGTATATCATATCACACATGTCATAAATTTAAAAATGTTAAATATTTAAATATTATGTTCGGTAGCTTTATAAGATATAGGTATATTTATCAAGAACCCACTTAAGAGAAACAATTGAGTTTAGCAATTCCTCAAGCCTCTCATTTGAAATTAGTGGGATAATCAAAACACGACGACTTAGGTACTTTTTAAACTTTCAACACGTTTTCCGGATTCCCAATATTAAATCCGAAAATTTAGGGACTGTACGTCGACGAGTGATAATGGATTAGCACTAATATCCAATCAATCAATTATTTCAGCTTCACATCCATCTCACCTCACCCTTCAAACAATTCCACAAACACTACGAAGCGACAGCTTGATCGAGTTTGTTACAATTACTTTTCAAGTTTTCCCTAAAAAAATATGTATTCGAACTTGTGAGGTTAATCAAATGTTGGGAAATGGAGTAACTTTCAATATCACCGATCAGATCTTATATCTCATTTCCGACGGTGTTTCAGGAAGAATTCGATGTGGAAATAACCGGCTTCCAACGTATAAAGTTATGGATCATAAATTTCCTTATAACTCTGCGAATGATCTAAAAGATCGAGTTTAAGAACGAAATTAACTATGAAAATTAGTGGGTGTACTAAAAGTTATTATTTTCGAGTACTTATGGAGATTTACCAATTACGATACTGATACGTCATCTTAGGATGACACTTGTTCTACTTTCCCATAGTTTGTATACAAGGTGAGGAATTGAATATTTCCGGTCCTCGTGGACGCTTATTTAGGTATCCTAATTCATTTTAATTAGAAGTTCTAAAGTGATTAATTACAATCGCGTAAAACTTACTTCCAACATACATCACTTAGAAAAAATGCGAGGCTGGAAAGCCAAAGATATTTCTCATGTTGATCTCTTTTCCTTTTGATTAATTGCCGGAAGAATTTTTATATATACCAGGATATTACACGACATACCTAACTAAATTAAATTCAGGCAGAAATGGAATAATTTTCATCTCCCTTAATTGCCTTTCCAAATTACATGCATTATACCTTATATCTACTTTTTTCCAATAACATTGAATTTTGCTGTATTAGATTTTGATTGAATAGGTAATTCATAGACGGTTTTTGCTGTTCTCAAACAAGAGGATTATGTACTACTGGGAGGGGGGAAGGGGGAATTATATTTGAACAATCATTATAGAGTACCTGTTCTGATCTGGACCGTTGAAGTAAGCTGGAAGCTGTGCTGACGTAGTTACATCACTAAACACACCACTATCATTTTCAACATCATCCACGAGGTCAAAACGTACACTATTGGAAGCCATTTAATTTGGAATGGATTAATTAATAAGAAGTGTTGTTACGTTGTGATGTGGCATTTTCCCACTTGACGCAGATTAACGCGAGAAAGAATGTGTGTCCCCAACGAAGATAATATTTGAACTAACAATTAGACATAAAAACCGTTATCGGTGTTTATATATGAACTTCGTATTAAGATAATAATTCACGTGAGTCATAAAGAGCACTACAGTATTTTTAGAACATTTATAACATGTTTTGACTCTTGCAATTTCTTGTAAGCTCCCCAAAATCCAAATCATAGTTAGGGGCGCCGCACGAATAGCAAACAGACGCTCAGTATTCATTAATTTAAAAACACAAATATATTATCCGCTTTTTTTTCATTCAAGTTAATTGTTAGTATAATCGTAAATATACTATTGTTTAGCTCTGATGGGAATAACCAAAAATTTTAATGAAAGTCGAACCAAACCTTAAGTTTTCAGGTTTATTGACTGTTAAAATAACGTCACGGTACATTTTTTTCTGAAGGAACATTTAGAACACCCCAAGAAAGCCATTAAAATTTTTAACTTTTAACAGGTGGTCGCTTTAGGCTTAGAAAGATTTGGTTTTAAATTTAGAAATTTGCAAGTGTAAGAAATCTTATACGTGTACCGCTCCATAATGAAAAAGAACGCGAGAGAATGAAGAGATGAATGAGAGATAAGGGTCAAAACGCCACAGTGTTCCCGGGTTTAAAAAGCGCTCTGACGGAGCACGAGAGACGGCTTTTCTGCGGCGAGTATATAAGGAAAAATCGGGTGGGAGAGAAAGATCTTTCACAGAACCTTCGAATAAATTGCAGCAATACAGACTGCAAAGCCAGCTCAACTAAATTATTATGTGACTTTAAATTCTCTGCGTGTTGTGATTACAAGTAAACTAATATAAAGTGGCGTTGTGTAGTGGAATCGACTGGCTGGTTGATTTTTTTAATCGTGAGTATAGTGTAGCCTGGCTAAATTAGGATACTATTCGGAAGGTCGTGCGGACGTATCACAGGAATTGGGTTCTACTATTAAGAATGAGACCAGAATCATTTGTTTTAAATGTAAACATCCGGGACATAAACCGTATGAATGTCCCACGAATACAAAGTGATCAGTATAAACTGGGGTGTAATTATTGTCATAGTATACAATTAATAATTAATTTTAAGAAGAGCAAGAAAGATCGAGCTGTCAACAAGACTCCTGAAAAGCATTCTAAACAGCTGGTATATTTGCTTTCGAACTTGGCTGTATTCAGTCCACTATCATACTAAAATCGGAAACACCTTAATACAACGCCGTTACCGTTACTGAGCTATCAACTCAGCTGTTTCGAGTTTTAATGTTTAAATTAATGCATACCAAAGAACAAAAGACAAACAAAAGAACAAAGGACATCGCTATGATTTTTTTAATTTTATAGCATATGTTAAATAGTTATTTGTGTACCAAGGCCGTAAAAGTGATCTTTTTTGGCCGAAGCTGCTGTTTGTGGCCGAGGCGCTAGCCGAGGCCGCAATTCAGATGAGGCCTAACAAATCACTTTTGGCCAAGGTGTACACAACATTTTTTAGGCGATCATCAAAAAAGAATTCAAAAATTTGCTCATAAACATATTTTTTCTGAAAATCATAGTTATCTTAGACAATTATAAACAAAGCATTTCCTGTCGTATGTAATAAATTATAATTAGCATCTTTGCGGTTGTTTTGTGCGTATCAAAATGGGCGATAGCGACAGTTCAGATACCCCAAATGAAATTTTGGAAGCTGCAAGCATTGCGACCCTAAGTCATATATGATATAAGAGCAGGCGTTTGAGAGTAAAAGTACAATCGCAACTTCCTCCGTTGCACAAGATTTTAATAATGTCAAATGCAATAGGTCCTTCGTAACTTATAGATAACATGCTGTACAATTATTAGAAACCTGATTACCTACTTTGATGGTAGGTATAGGTAGCTACTTGTGTTTTCGGTTAATTGCTGGTGATTCTTCGTATAATAATGTAAGCAATAACATCTTCCTCATGTTTTGGTTCTACACTTCAAAAAGGTCTGCAAGCAGCAAAGATTGAAACGTCAAACTATAATTTTAAATGTGAACATTGTCATTATGCAAAATAGTGTGAAACATTCCTACAAGTCCGAAAATGAAAAAAACGCACGTGGATGGCCCAATCCTTGATGGGGTTAGACCAGATAGAAGATTTGTATCAAACAGATTACTGTTTCTTACACATCAGTTTCAAATAAGTACAGTTTGACAGATGTGTACAATAAAGTAAAGTTTGACAGAAGCGTACAATAAAGTGAAACTTTATGGCCGCAAAAGCGACCACAAAATCAACGTTTTTGTGATGATAGCCTAAAAATAACATTTTAATAGGTTTGAATTAATAGGCTAATGACCGTTTGCACAGACAGATTTAAGCGGAGCTTAGCCTAAGCAATAAGCATAGCTTAAAATCCATTGAAACGATTATTGAGACAATGGTTGCTATGGATTTTAAGCTACGCTTAAGCTAAGCCCCGCTTAAATTTGGCGGTGCAAACGGCCATAAGTCGTTCTTTAACCGTGAGGATACATAAAGCGATCACTTTAACCGCTAGTGTAGATAAAGTGAAAGACATGATTGTGCATTCTAATGACAACTGTCATCCTTATTTCAAATGTCACGCGGAGAGAGTTTGGCATTTCTACCTTGCACTAGAAATGCCAAACTCTACAAAATTTTGAATGTCATTTCTTAATAATTAATTGTCTAATGCTTTGGTGTGCTCCATATGGGAATTGTATATTAACTCTCTGTGTATGTATACAAGTATTACTTCTGGCAAACTATAATACAGTCAAAAACGAAAGCCGCTTAAAAGCGCATTGAAACCCGAAAATGAAATGCAAACTAAATTCCTTCGGAAGGAAATTGAGGGTCTTTCAGAAACTCCCGAAATCCACCTAATTGGGATTAATCGACAAAATCCAAGCCCTCATGGACACAACAGCTTTGGCAGCTTTCCGATATGTGTTAACGCTAAATAGAAGATCGAATGCTAATATATACATTGCGAAGGGACATAATCAATTACTGGCATCGAAATTTATTCATTTTTGCTAATAGAAAAAGTAAGATAGGATGACATTTTATAAGCTATGACTTACGGGAGTTGTTTTCGGAATAAATGATCTGTTTGAAAGTCGATATATAACTCACATTTCCTGTGCCTCGTCCGCTATTTTTTTGGTTTATGATCGGTTCACCACCTACTCTCTCGTATTTCTCATGCACGTCTATATATCAAAAACTAAACTGAAACACTTTAAAACATCTTATCAAATTGATTCGGTTGTCGTTTGTCTTCTAAAGCTTACAAGTTACTTCCCTTTATGGATTGTCATTTATTATATCGCCTAACTGGAGAGTGGTCTTTATGGTAACATTTTCCTTTAGTTTTAATGTCGATCAATATTTAGTGGGTGTATGTTAAAAAGTGGATTGAATTAATATTGTATATAGCTCTAGTAACAGGTGGCTTTTGTGAGCAAGGTAGCTCATATAACCAACAGGTGACAGCTTCCATTAGAAATTATCAACGTCGCCACGACCATGCAATACTGTTACAAGGGTTTTATTTTTCATACTATCAAAAGTAATTTTGGTTATTAAAAATTGTCTACGGCTGAGGCACTTCTATAACGAAATTTATTACATTATAACGAAAGAAGGCTTTTCAAAAATGCTAAGGGTTTCAGAAATTATATGAATGTCATATTACGACTGGATACTTACACAAGTACTGTTTATACATGATTTAAGTGTCACGTTTAAATTAGTAACTCTCTGTTCATTAAAGGATTTCGATTTTTGTCTTCGACAGGTGTTAATTAACTTAAGTTTTGGTAACATTGAACTTTGACACTGACTGAAGCTAAACTCAATTCAATGTGCTTATATAGCATACAAAATACCTAGAGAAATCACGAATCAGCATCTCATATTTCATGGAAAGAATGAGATACATCCCGTTGTATTCCTTATCCGTTATCGACTTGATGGCATCTTGCTGTCGCTCTAGAAAATTTGCTAGGGTATCATATTACAGACTGAAACTGTAAACTCATTTCAGATGGGCCGGTCATTATTAAATGATCTCTCCGTATATATTGTAAAGACGATAAAAAATTATTGGCGCATTCAATAAACAAACACTAAAGTATAAAGCAGAATTTTGAACATCAAAGTAAAAAAAATATATTTATTTTTCAAATGTTTCCTTTTCAGCTTCGTTTTTTTAAAGGATCGTATAGCTGAATGTAGTCCTTGTTGACACGTCTAGTGGTGTGAAACCGAATTCCGCATTCCCTTTGTCATCCACTCCCTGATTCCAAACAGCCTTTCAATATCTCTCGAGATCTTATTTACTATTTACTGAATTCGCAACACAAATAATACACCACTTTAATTTTGGGGGTTTTCATGTCAATATGGGAAATTTAAAAGTTGCGAAAGACAAATACTGAATTATTTATTCTATCATCGATATCCGTGAGAAATTTGACATCCGTTTGTAATCAAATGAAATTTCTTTGATAAATAAGTAACTATGAAAAAATACAGGTTTCGAAACCAATCGGTGGGCTAGTCATGAGCGAGAATGTTTTCAATGTGAGGTTCATTCATCATATAATTTTGCAATTGAAATAGCATTAATACTTAATATGCTATCCTGAAATAATATGACAGGTTATTTACATTATAATGTGTAGGTATAGATTGGATTTGAAATTGGGATGATACCCTGCGCTTTAGGATGCGGATGACCCATTTACACATTGTAAAATTTTAAATGATGTTGCATTAGAGAATTTATATGAACGAGATACCTATCTTCGTAGTTTAATGAAGAATTGCCACATTAATCTTTACATTTTAAAGAGCAACCACCGATTATAATCTGTGATTATCTTAAAAAAGTAAAATTTGCGAAAACATGTCCATTTAGATACGTAGAGAGAAGTTCAATAAAAGGTTTATCTTATTTTGGTATTTTTCACTTTAAAATTTTCTATAAATACTAAAAATGGCTTGAGTTGAAATTCTTCACTGACATTAACAAAAGT